TTGTTTTTTCTCAAACTTGCTGGATGATAAACCCAAATCATCGTCTGGCAATGACGTTAGTCACGATTAGGTGACTCTAACTCAGTTACTTCTGCAATTTGATGGTTTTGTAAATGACTAGGTTAGTTTTTAATTTGAAAGGAAAACACTGTTAAGCAACATAATGACACTGATAATGAATGGGGGGGATTTGCAGTAACGTGTTATTTTAAGCTTAAATGTGTAAATAGATCTAAGTGAAGAATTCCCACCGGTCACTACTGTGACCGAGTATAAAACCTAATATTTCCATAACTTAACCAACATAAAATCAAAAAGGGCATAAAAGCTGTGTGTTAGGGAGGTCTAAGGACTAAAATGCATGGAAACATTTGGGATTAAACGGGTGAAAGTACTGCTGTACCTGTAGCATCGAGCTCTCTTTAGTTTTCTAATGCCGTTATAGGCGCGACGTGCCACTGAATAGTTGTGGCAGAATAAATGATGACTGTTTGGATTACTGCCGGGATCTTGTGGACATGAGTGATGCTGTTTACAGGAGGTGATGTCTGTGCCAATAAAAACGTGTGTAAACACTGTTTGCAGTCAACAAAAATATATATGCACAAATAATCTGCTTTGCTGTCGGCCGCCTGAGAGAAATTCATAGCATAACACCGTCCTCTTTTTGTTATACGTGACTCTTGGTAGCTGCAAGAAATGGTAATAAGGTCAGAGAAGCTAAACGAGGCACTGTGCTAATTAGTCTAATAGGCAATTACATACTTTTCACATCAATTTAACTCCTGTAACAAAAAGTGTTTAATAGACGATAGAATGCCAGGATACCAGATGGAGCAGTGCTTGACAGATCTCAGGTTAAGTATTTTTAAGCATCTGTGCTGTTGTTTTGAATCCGAGTGGGAGCGTAGTCGTCCAGTAAAATTAAAATGTTGTGACCCGGCGGCAGGAGAATAGAAGTGAATGTTGATTGGTGGTTTGAAAACAGAAGGCAGACTTATCTTCTTCCTAAAGATGCTATGCTCTTTCATGCATTCCCCTTTTCTTTAATCTCATGTATGTGTTTATGTGTGTGTTCCTACATCACACGTCTCCATCTCATCCGTGCGACACGACTTCCTGTGGAGAAGCTGGTGTTGAAAAGTGAAGACTGTAAGTGAATTCACAGAGCGGCGGGGCATGGTGAAGGCAGCACTTTCACGATGGCCCAGTTCCATTTTGGCAGAGTGACCCTCTTAGTCCCCTTCACTTCCCCTCTGGCTTTTCCATATGTTACAAGTAGGAAAGAGCGATATCTAGGTTACATGTAGCAATTGGTGGAAAAAGTCAATTTGAGAGTATAGAGGTCAGATTTGGCCTGTTTTCTGCTCTTGGCATTAGAACCATTTTTGTGTTCAATCAATTTGTTAGGAGGAAAGTCAACAGGAATGAAATCCCTGGGGGAAGTTGAAAGATGATTTGATCATTCTGCATGGATTGGTGTGTGTGTGTGTGTGTGTGTGTGTGTGTGTGTGCTGGTGCGGGGGTATCCTTGTGTGTCACTGCTCCAAATCTTAACACATCTATTACAGAAGGTAATGTGAGAGTGACGTCACTTACTGTCACTTACTCACTAATGCACACACACACAAAATACCGACACGATTCTGTGTTTGTGCTTGTCGTGGTGGGACTTGTTTTTTGTTTGCAGCACTGTCTCTCTGTTCATGTCATAAAAAACGGCTGCTCTGATCTGTAAAACTACGTTTTTATGTTCTCAAAATACATATTTTCCATTCATCTACTTTGATGTTCGACCCTCCTGTATAGAAGTCATTATTCCATATTATTCTTATTGTCAGAAAATCCCAAGAAAAGGCCAAAACAAACAATGTGTAAGTTTGTCTCTCTGTACTTTCTGACTTCCTGTCTGTGTCTCATCGGTTCCCACTGAAGACGTAAATATTAATATTAATATTTTTTTAAGGCTCAGTAATTTCTTACTTAAACAGGAGGAAATAGTGCAGTTGTTGGGAACTATTTTCAGCGGCGGATGAATCCACATGTGGTGTTTAGTGAGTATTTAGGGCAGCAGGACGGTGTGTGTGGTGCTGAGTCAGAATGAACTACAGACAGTGTGTTCATGGTGTTAAAGGAACATGTCACAGTGCAGCAGTGAGGCTCACTGCGGATTTTAATAGTAATAATACTTGTATGTGTGTATAAGAATTTGAGTAGCAGAACATTATATATCTTTTTTTCCTGAGCCATTAATCATCTCACAATTCCACAGCTTTATCTTGCGATGCCGTGCAGCGGTGAACAGTTTGCAACAAGGGCAAATGACAGCGAGACCGAGGACAGTAACCGTACACATAATTTACTTACTCTTTACTAAGTGTTCAAAATGTTGTGTTAAGTTATTCCTCAAAAGCCATAATGTCATAAAGTATCAATGTTTCCCATCGTTTACTCCTTAAAACTCTTCAATATTCAAAATTCCCAAACTTTTTTAGCTCAAGATCCAAAAGAGAAATCTGGTGTCTGCCTGGGACCCAGATTTACAAAAATACATCTACAATTACAAACTACGGACAAAGGGCAAAAAAACATGTATATAAAGTGTAGGGTAAACAATTTCTGCGTCCCGCTCCTTTCTCTACTCTCATTGTCTTTTCCCCTCCCATCATCACCAACATGTCTTTTGACACGACCTGAATTGGATGAGAAGAACGTGGCTGGTTGAAGTTTTCAATGAGCTGATCTTTACTCTGGGCTAAGTGCCATTCTGGGGTAATGCTGAGCATTTAGTCTGCTTCTGAATTAGTTTTTCAGGTGGGCTAGAGTCGGGACACCAGATTCTCACAAGTATGTTGTGCCGTACTGAATCAACTTGAAGGATTCTTCTTTGCAAAAAAAAATAATAAATTGGACTTTCCCAAACACAGTGAATGTTTCATTTGGAGATACCTGTCCAACTGATTCATGTTAATTACTTTTAACCATTACTGAGCACTTTGAAGCATCTCCTCTCCATTCTGAATTGCTTTTGTGAAGCCCACATTAATAAACCCGTTCTTGTACTTCAGTTTAGACAGTGACAGGTCATAGACCGTAGACAAAAAAAATTCTGTATGAATGTGGACTGAAGATCAGGTTAGGGAGAGAAAAAACCTCACAGCGTCTGAAGTGAACAGACAAGAGTGGCAAAAATAACACTCATTCACATATTTACACGTAGTAAAGAATTGAAGTCAATAAAAATGCGTTTGGAAAACACACTTCTAAAAGAACAAGTGTCATTTCTTTTTTTATTTGATAAAATAAGTAATGCTTCTTCGTTGATTATGTAAACGTCTCGGAGGTAAAATGGTTACTTCAATATTCTCTTGTGTTCCCTCTCATAATGTAAAGACTAAAAAAAGGTTAGTGGGGGGACTGAACGCTGCAGGTTTCCCTCTGGCTGCTGGATACTCGGCATGCAGCATCTTGCTCTGAACCTGGAGGCCTCCACTGCTACAGTAATCACTTCACATGGATGTAACGAACAGCGAGCAGTTTACACTGAACCGGTACAAAGCAACACTCTTTCAAATCATTACATGTCGGCAAAGAAGATCAAGCCTTTGACCTTCAATTCAATGTCCAACTGAGTGTGGGAAGATCGTTTTCATTTTTCCATTAATAACCTAAACACGTAATCACTGTTATTTAGAGAGAAGCCTGCACTTGATAGCTGATTAAAGCAACAGGAATATTAGCGTTTAGAACATTAAGAAGAAAAGTATTCTGTTAATCAGATTATTATGATAAAGGCCAAGTATCTTCACATATAGAAACAAAAAGAAAGGGCTTCTTCTACATCAGCTGCTGCTGCTTGGTAATAGTTTTGCAAATGATGCCACCTACTGTTGTTTTGGCAGCATGACATTATTAAAGCCTTCGAATAATGGCATGTGATCTGTGGCTTAACGTCATGTGAAGGTTCTCAGTCATCCAGGTCATAGTTATCCGAGGAAGGTGGCTTGTGGCTTGAGTTTGATGAACAACTCTCTGGATAAATAAACAAAAACGCCTCCATCACAACTCCAGTCTACCATACTTTTAGCATTTTGTTACACATCTCGTGAACTTTACATCACTGCCAGCCAGTTTTTAAAATGATCCCATATTATTCGAAATAAAATGTGTGTTTAAAATGACTTCCTGCTAAATAATAAAGTCAGCTGCCAAACAGTGACCTTTTCCTTTTGCAAGGAACTATTAAGCTTGTATAATTTTCACATTTGTCTTAACATTCCCTACCACTCCTTCACCCTCCCCTCCATCATCCCTTACAGTAGCATAAATGAATAATTAAATAAAAGTGCATGCAGTTTTTCTCAGATGACAGAGCTCCGTTGAACACACAAACAAGAGAGTTTTCAAAAAGTTCCTGCTCGCATGACCAACCCACGATGACACGGCAGCTTTAAAGCTGCTCTAATCACTATTTTGACTGTGTGTAATATAAAAAGGTTCGTCCATAGTGACAAACCACGTAGAAGGATCACCTGACTCAGCATTTTAGCACCCTTAAAATCAGAACTAATAGAAGAGTGGATGTCGGACTGGGATGGATTCATCGGGTGGACAGAAACAATCCAATGAATGTTAATGTTGCTCTGTGTCTGCTGGACGTGTAAACAGGCAACCGTTTGCTAACGATAAAATGCCACCAGCTGGTTGTGCTTCTCAAGATAATTACCTCTTGCAAGCAAAATGAAAGTTTCTGCAAGTGATGAATTGAAACCAACATCTATATTCAATATGTTACAATTTCTATTGTATCCAGTGGTCATGTGGTTTGTAGTCAGTGTTCGAAAGCAGCCACCCAGTGCTTTAAGATCACCTCGGGTTGTACATTATTTAGAAGAAAACCCAGCGCTGGTCACTTTCTGCTTGTCTATCAGCAGCAGCAGCAGCAGCAGCAGTTCTTTCTAACCTGGACTAACCTGTCGTCTCCTCTCTGCCCCTCTCAGGCCTCCCGCAGATGACTCAGGAATGCGTAACAACGCTGCCGCCGCTGCTGCCCTCGCCTCCACCCCTCCCAGCAGCCTTCCATCCCAGATGCACCCCTGCAGCCCGCCAGACTCCGCCTCCTCCCTCACCCCATGCTCCTCGCTCCCGCCCTCTGTGTCGCCCACCCTCACCGACGTCTTTGGTCTTCCCACGCCGCCCATGGGCAGCGGCGGTGGTTACAGCCTGAGCTCTTCGTGCGGCGGCAGCGGGAGCTCACGCTCCCCATCGCCGCTCACTCTGATGCAGGCGGTGGCGGCCTCGGGCAAGCCCTTCGCCTCCAAACCCATGGAGCTTTGGAGCAAACACGACGTGGCGGACTGGCTGGAGAGCCTCAACCTGGGGGAGCACAGGGACGCTTTCCTGGACAATGAGATCGAGGGCGCCCACCTGCCCTCGCTGCAAAAAGAGGACCTGATAGACCTGGGCGTGACGAGGGTGGGCCACCGCATGAACATCGAGAGGGCCCTCAAGCTGCTGCAGGACAGATAAGCCCCGAAGAGACGGGGTGGTGACGTGCGGAGTCAGAGCCGAGGAGAGGGAGGTGTTACCGATCACTTTTACCAATCTCTTCATCAGACATAATCTCAAGTCGTGGAACTGGGTAGAAGTTTTGTCCAAGCTGATGCTGCCTCTTGCTGTTTTTGTCCTCTCTCATCCTCCGTCGCCCTCATCTCAGCGCTCCGGTCTCGTCCGCCCTCTTCCTCCTTCCCACCGCCCCGAGCATCAGGGGATCATGGGATGCCGGGCGGAACTGCAGGGGAGAGAGAAGAGATTAGCTGCTATGTCACATCAAGGAGAGAAAGCAGAGGAGGCCAGTATGAAGGACAACAAAAGAAAACGGAAAACTCTGGTATAGCGTGTACTCAAACACCGGGAAAATACTTGTCTGGAAGTTTATTTCACATAAAGACTCGTGCTCACCCAACTGCTTTGGAATACTAAAGACTTTTTCCATACACCCTGGTGTGGGTGCATGAAAAGCCAGCTGAGCTGGTCGTTGCTCCTTTTCTATCTTTGCTAGAGTTTGTTCAGAGAATAATATTTCTTCACTAGAGTCCTACCGGAGTTATATTTCTGGGTGCATCTAAGGTTGTAGAGAAAAATTTGAGATAGACTTCCATTTTTTGCTTTTCACCTGTTTGTGTCAAAATAAGAACGTGAGCTGACATGTTAAAACAAATACTGAAGCGTATCTCATGTCCGTGCACATCCAGACATAAACACACACTTTATGCACAGTGCCGCACACCGACAAATGAGAAGACACACTGTCGTCACAGACACACACACCCTAAGCATGTCTACACACCGATACTGCGATGGCCTTCTTCTCCTGAGAGAGAGCAGTGCGTGGAGAGAGGCGGTCACCGGAGGAGGAGCTCTGCTGTAGCAGGGGCCCCAATGCCCCTCGCCAGTCTACACCCGCCCGGTGACCCACAACACCCACAACACGGACAGACAAACGTTGGACCAGAAAAATTCTCACCTTGAAATGGTTTTATCAGCTTGTCTGCCCGCAAAGGGCGTCCGTGTCTCCCGGGGCTTTTCCTTCTAGTGTGCGTGTGCGTGTGCGTGTGCGTGTGCGCGTGCACGTGCACGTGCGTGTGCGTGTGCCAGTGGTTGACCCAAAATATCATTAAGGCCAGTTTAGCTATTGGGAAACTAGAGCTGTTCTTTACTTTTGTACTTTAATTTCTTCATTCTGTCAGATCTCCCTCCACCATTAGCAGGTCTACGCTTCATGCGGCCCCGCGGTAATGCTAATGTCTCTAACACCCTGTGTGTATGTGGTAGAACTTGAGCTTTTTTAGAGAGACCATTTCAAGGTATGTTTAAAGTTCAACGTTTGGGGAAACACACTTTTAGGCTTTCTTGCTTCGAGTAAGATGAGAAGATTGATAGCACTCCCATGTCTGCACACTAAATGTGATGCTGGAGCGCCAACACAAGTAGCTTAGCATAAAGATTGGAGGCGGGGGAAAACAGCTAGCCTGAGTCTGCACAAAGTTTAAGAACAAAGTCTGCCTACCAGCAGCTTTAAAAGTTTCTCATCTCTTGGTTAGGGAGCTTGCAGAGGCATTAGCAGGTTTTAGCCACGCTAGCATGACACTATGGAGGACTGTTCAGTCGATCGGTCCACCACTTCGTTCCAGACTGAAGTATCTCAACAGCTATTTAAAGACTGCTTTAAAATATTGTACGGTCCCCAGAGGATAAAACCCAATGGCCCCTGGTGACCCCTCCATGAGGTCTTGAGTGAAATGCATGTATTTATAGATTGCCATGAAATTTGGCTCTTGTGTCCCCCTCAGAATGAAATGTAATAACTTTCCTAACGATCCTTTAACTTCTTCTAGTGCCATCACCAGGTCAACATTTCAGTTTGTCTTTATGATGAAATATCTGTTAAACATTCCCATCAGCCTCAGCTGTGCTTTGTGTTTAGTGCTGATTAGCACATGTTAAACTAAACGCTAAACTAAGACGGTGAGCCAGGTAAGTTTACCTGCTAAACATGTTAGCTTTTAGCTCAAAGCACCACAGAGCCTTATCATGGCTGTACTCATTTAAACTTTGGACAGCCGAGCTGTTTTCTCCTGTTTCCTGTCTTAATGCTAAGTTAAACTAATCGTCTCCTGGCTCCACATTTACATGAGTGATTTCAATCAAACCATCAGCAAGAAAATTATTAGTTATTTCTTGATAGCATTTTACTAAATTTAAATCAAGTGTCAAGTCCTTTTGGAGCCCTTTTTTTAGTTTTCACCTATTTTAAATAACAGAATTATGAACAACCTAGTATTTAAGAACTAAGACTCACAGGTTGATGTTTAAAGAGCTAAAACTCAAGTTTTACCAGAGAAATGACGTATTTTCTATTTAGCTAAATGACTACCTGAACATTTTGTACATTGTTCTTTGTTGTTAATTAAATAAAAAAAGAGCGAAGTGATTAAAAGACTTGCTAGCGTCAAGATAACTCGAGCTCAAATCCAATCAAACTGCATGCCAAACGGGAACAGCTGACCTTGAGTGTTCAGAAAGGCGCCTATAAATAAAATGCATTATTATTGAATTTATTTTAGCTCTTTCAGAGGTACAATTTTGTGGTTGGGAACACAGAGTCAAACTCTTTTAGATGGAAACAGCCTGTGTTAGTGTGTTTTCAGGCTGGACACGCAACACTGCGTTAACAAAGCTCTTGCAGACTGACGCTGGCGGCCGCTGCAGAATAGGTCTTTGAAGACAAACAAGAGCTTGTCTCATAATTGTGCGGATCAGCAGGTTAATGCTTTGTAGGGCGACTTCAGCCAGATGACACGAAATCTCGCCGAAGCGTTGGCTTTAAGAACAGATGGGGGAATCTGTGGCTTCAGGGTTTATTGTTGAATTACGTGTTCACGTTAAGTCCACATGCCTTGTCCTGCCCTCTGACCACTGTGCAAAAAAAAGTAACAAATAACCAGAGAATAACCTGACAAAGCTGGCAGATGTTCATCAGCGTGAGCCCTGTGAGATTAGAAGGGACAGAACCAGTTCTGATCTGTTGCAGATGAACTTCAGTCTCTGGAACTCAACTCCGGCCTCACTGCAGCTCCAGCAGTAGAGACCAGATTTAAACTTTGTTATAAGGGTCCAATTAAAAACTAAATCAGCATTTATAAAGCTGGAAATGTATGTGTGTCTGCTAGCAATGATTATAGGCTGGTGAGAGTAGAAGTACAGTATGTGTTGAAATGTGTGTGTGTGTGTGTGTGTATATAAGAGTGTTTAACAGGATAAAAATGTCTATTTGATTATATGTGTAGCTCTATTAAAAGGTTTAGAGTAAAAGAAGAAGTTATATGAAGGTTGATTTATAGTTGCCAGAGCTGACCTGAGGACCAACGCAGTGGTCTTACCCGCCCCATCATCCTGCAGAGGATGCCTTAAATAGCTCACTGTCCCCTCTTCTCCACCACCTGCCCCGCTGTCGGTTGAATCGCTCTAGAAAGAATAAGAGCTTGTGTTTTTATCTCAAAGTAGATTCTTTCAGCGCACACCTCACGTGTGGTTTGATATGTGTTCGACAGTAACCCAGCGTCTTGAAATATATATCGTTTTAGAACAAGTTCACCCTTATTTGGTTTCATATCACACTCCGCAGCTTCATGTAGGTGCAGCTTTCGAGGAGACGAAATGAAACCTACACAAGCTCTGTGTTCTGTGAACATTAGCCGTACGGAGGCTGGCACGGGACAATGCTGCTATAATCCTGTTCCTGTTTGAAACGTGTAACTTATTTTAAAAACAAACAGCGAAGTGTCGGAGGAGGAGGAGGAGGTCGAAAAGCACAGTATTTTTAAAGATTTGTATAGAGTTCTATGAAATTTTATAGAGGTTATCTGAACAAAACACTGACGCGCGGATTGCCAAAAACAGAAATACTACATCGATAAAAACGTGGATATCATTAGACTTATGGGTTATGTAAGAAGCAATATTTATTCTGAATGAATCTCCTTGGTTGTGTTAAAATTATTTATTTTCCCATTTTAAAGTTGCATTTCATGATGCGCTCACTTGTTTTAATGTTGCCTAAGTAGAGACACTCTACTGCAGAAGTAAGATATTTTGGTCAATCAAGTGACCACAAACCCCAGATATCTTCTGACGACCACCATCTGCCTGACTAGACTTCTCTCATCTGAAATCCCTGAGTCTAGAGTGTGTGTATAAAAAGAATAAAATCTGTAAATTTAAAAAAATATATATCTGTATAACCGCAGGCCATCTTGGTAGGAAACTATATGAAACCTATATATATGTAAACATACATAAATCCACCTAGAAGATCAGCGGTGGCTGCTGATTCCTTAATGTGGATCAACAGGTCACTGCGCACTTTTCTCTGTGGAAATGTAGAGCTGAGTAGATGTAGTAGGAAATCTTTAAAGAGCATCACCAGGCCATGTTTAGGACGGGCATGGCTCACTAACCCACTTCCACTCCCCTTCAAAACACTGCTCCTACCTTTTATCATTGTCCAACATTTGGGTAACTGTTTCTTTTTCTTCTTTTTTTTCTTTCTTTCTTAATATTTTTTTTCATTAATAGATTTTTATTCTTTGATTAAGTCTTCATAGAGGCTAAGATGTTTTCGGTAATTTGTGCAAAGACTTGTGTTCATGTTTTCTATGTTGCTGTAATTTTGTGCTACTAAAAATCATCATAGAGTCAACTAATTACTGAAATGAAAAGAGAGAGAATTTTCCTGTAACTGCACTCTTCCTTCGCCCCCTGCCCCCTCAAATCCTCAAGACTTCTTGTATGGCAACCAAATTTCACTGTAAGAAATAAATATAATATTGCACTAGTGTTGTAGTGTTGTTCCCTCTCAGTCTTTACAGCGCAGCATATTGACACTGGATGAAGATCGCTCGTTTGTGTGGATTAAAATAAAAGCTATAGTTCTTAACATTTTTGAACAAATCACTAAATTAGGTGAACAGAGAAGAGTATCTGAGTGAAAAGTGTATATTTATTATGCTTTCATCAATACAGGGTGGTTCGAAGAGAGCATAATGATGCGTTATAAAACAAATATCATTTAACTTGTATTTCCTTACAGGAAAAAGGCTGAATAAAAATACATTTAAAATTCTGTCTTTAGGATTTTAATACATTACTATTAAAAATGAAGTGACGCGTTAGATTTATTCGGTTTCACAGTTCATTTGTCTCTTAACATTTACAGTTTCCATTTCGTTATTACTTTACTTTAAAGATGGATCTCTGAAGTGGCACACTTTAACACATCTTTCACTTTAGAGTTAAACCAAATCCCACTGACAGAGTGGCAACTCTGGTTGGCCAGCTGTTGTGTTTGCAGGGGCCAATCAGAGCTCCTACTGATACTGTCAGCGGGACTTAATATTTAGGTTTCTTGCAGCTCGTGTGTCTTGAAATAGCTTGAGAGTCGTTCTTAATTTAAAAGGTAAAAAATTTCATCTTTTTATTTTCAGTTTTGTAATGCATCATTTGTAAGTAGACGATCATCGCTGAGAGCTCTAATATATTCCTGTTTGCTTCCATTTAATTGGGGTACTTGAGCACAAATCTCAAAACCTGGACATTGGAAACTAAAAGGATCTGTGGGGATTCTTTAATCTAAGTCACAAAGTGAAACTTTCATATATTCTAGATTCATTATACATAACATTTTTTTTTTAATTTATGCACAGGAAAACTTTATGCCCAGACCTTTCTGGTCTCCTTTGACAGGTGTGAAGCTAGGGAATATGAAAGCATTGTAAGTAAATCCAGAGTAAATAGATGAAATAAAGGAAAATCTAGGATTTTCATCCTCGCCTACTATAAAATATAAATTTAAAAGGCAATATCACCATTACAACCAAGATCCTGTAGATAATAATGCAATTGATCCTCCTGCTCCTTGACTACACTTGTAACTGATGAAAAGGCATTAAAAACCATTCATGATGCAGTTTCTAAAGATATACGTTGACTGTTCACTGAGAGTTTAGGCAAGGCAAGTTTATTTGTATAGCACAATTTAACAGCAAGGTAATTCAAAGTGCTTTACATAAAACATAAAAGCAACAGGGAAATATGTAAAAGTTTAAAAGCAACATAAAATATAATAAAAGTTACAGTGTTGCAATCAGGGTTTAAAGAGTTAAATGGAAAATAATAAAAAGCTAAAAACACAGAAAAAGAAAACAGGACAGTTAAAGTTACAGTGCAGTGTAAGTTATCAATCTACTAGTTAAAGAAATATCTTAAATATTTAATTAAAAGCAGTGGTAAAAAGAAAAGTCTTCAGTCTTAATTTAACAGTTTCTGCAGACCTGCAGTTATCTGGGAGTTTGTTCCAGATATACGGAGCATTATAACTGAACGCTGCTTCTCCTTGTTTAGTTTTGACTCTGGGGACAGAAAGCAGACCTGCCCCAGACGACCTGAGAGGTCTGGATGGTTCGTAATGAGGCAGAAGATCAGAAATGTATTTTGGCCCTAAACCATTTAGTGCTTTATAAACTAACAGCATGAAACCAATGTAAAGACCTCAGAACTGGAGTGATGTGATCCACCTTTTTGGTCTTAGTGAGGACTCTAGCAGCAGCGTTCTGGATCAGCTGCAGCTGTCTGCTGGATTTCTTAGGGAGACCTGTAAGGACACTGTTACAGTAGTCAAGTCGACTGAAGATAAATGCATGGATAAGCTTTTCCAGGTCCTGCTGAGACATTTTATTTCTATGTAGCCATGTTACAAATAACATAAATCTCCCCAAAACATTGAAATATGAATAAACATAATGAATATTGATTAGTATCTCTGTGACCGAAGAACAATAGAGGCAGATAAACGTAAAATAAAAGCTCCCACAGTGATGTGCGTTATTGTCTCAGTACTACAAGTCAGCCACAAGAGGGCGACAAAGGCCGTGTGCTTGAATGGATCATTGGAGCACCTGTGACTTCCACAGGTGATGCAAATGAACGGAAGCCGGCTGAAATTGGTCCAAGATGGCGCCCCGGCATTGGAGTAATAAATTCAAGTGGTTTTTATGCAACTAACCCTGCAAAAACAGCAAAGGTAAGACGCAATTTCTAGTTGTTTTTGTTCTCCAGCGGTTTCTTCTGTGAGTTTTGGCCCCACAGTGAGTGATACTGCTGGGATCTGAGGAGTCTCCGGGTTTATTTGGTCTGTGTGGAGACTGCAGGCTGAAGTGAGAGAGAGATCAGGTGTGTGTGTGTGTGTGTGTGGGTGAGACTGCACGCAGACACGTGTTTTGTGGCTTGGTGTCTTGTTTTAGGTCAGTTGGTTGCACTCACTAACCTGGAGCTGTATGAAGCTCTCTGTGGCCCCTCGGGTCCTTGATCTGTCCCACGTTTTGAATGTGGTGTGTTCAGACTGAAAAGTGAAAAAAAAACTCATAAGTGGACTGAGTATACGGGCCCTGGGCCCTCCTCACATGAGGGCGCCGGGAGGGGCCCATAGAGAAGGCAAAAGATTTTTGTGAGGCCCCTGTGGATGGTCACTATGTTGAGTAAAAACACTGTTGTTGATTGATTTATTGTTAGGCCAACTCTCTTCATGCTGCACACACAGAACTCAGGCAGGTGTCGGTTTATTAGGTACACCTTGCTTGCTGGTCAACTGTAAGGTCGTTTGGAGGATGTTTGTGGTGCTGTTGAACTGTATATAATACAGAGAGGTGTAGCGCCTCAGTGGATTATTACCATACAGTTGAATAGACATTAGTTTTAGATAAGTGTACCTAATTAACTTGTGTGTGTGTCATTTTCCACTCAGACCCAGATATAAGTAGGGTGACCGCCTCACAACTTGGAACAGGTGTGGCAGGCCCAACAGTAATAATAAATAATAACCATCATCTTTATTTATACAGACATGAAATGCAGCTTTACAAGGTAAACAAATAAAATCTATATTCCGATAATAAAATCAAAATGCAAGTAGAAAATCCAAAAAAACGCTGGAATACACACATTCAAACCTAAATAAAATTTAAAATATACAATAGTGTTAGAATAAAAGGTGGAATTAAAAGCATGTAATAAATTAGTAAAGTAAAAAATCTAAACACACATTGGAACATATAAAATAATTACAGTGGTGTAAAACTGTCTACAGAGGTTGTTTGTCTGATTTAAAGATCTGTGTCCGTTTCTGTGAGCTGATGAATAACACAAGTTCTTTGTATGAGGGCAACTCACCGTTGTCCCCTCCCACCCACTTCTTTCATTTACAAGAAATGTAAATACTGGTGACAGATATTGCCAATATATCTTTATCGGAATTTTAATTGAATGAGGTATTGATATCAGCTTAAACATATCCAGACTCCCACACTCGGTAGGTAAATTACTTTTTAGTCTTTTGTAATGAAAGTTGTTTCTGTGAATTTAGTTATGAATTTGTTTGCCAGACATGAACCAGGAGGAGGAGCCTTCATCAGTCCACTGCACTACAGCAACTCTTCACTACGGTGAGGCTTTTTCCCCACAGCCACCGATGGACGTCACATAACAAACCTGCATGAGTCCACTGAGCCAATCGGGAACAAAATACCTGGTAAAGTGTCAGCAGACCATATTTTTACTTAAGTAAAGTACAGATGTGTTATCAGCAAATGTACTTGTAACGTATCAAAAGTAACGGCAGAATATATGATATTACTGTTTAGCCCGTCGCAGGTTTTGTATGTGAATGACAGTGGTGGAAAGTACGACAACCTCAATATAGTACTTGAGTATTGCCATTTTATTTTTAGAGGGATGATACTGTACAGCTAGTTACTTTTCAGTTCGATTCAGATGCGTTTTCTTTGGATGTTTTCAGTCCAATTAGCTTCTAATATTTCTGTACGTTTACTCATGTAAAAGTTTGACTTGCTTGTTATGAAGTAATTTTACAGAGTGATGTTTTTTTTCTTTTTATGAGGTTAGTACTGATGCATTACCATGTAAACAGCATTTTAATCCTGTAGCCTGTCAAAGTGGAGCTAATTTAAATTGCTGCATGTAGTTGTGGGAAGTTTAATCTCTAATAATTCATCATCCCATATGTTTTTAATCTTAACTGTCAGAAAAATGGAGGAAAAAGTACAATATTTCATCCCTAAATGTAGTGGAGTAGAAAGTGAATGGCCCGGACTTTCCTCACATTACTCCGTATTAGTCTTTTAAATGTTGAACGTGTCATTGCAGCGCCCTGATTTGTGTTCATTTCTATTATTAATTACTGCAAGTCCTTTTGCCAAATAGTGTCAATAAAAAGTATGTTAATGTAAAGTAAAAAAACAAGAGAAACGTTTTTCTAGAGCGACTATGTTGACAGGGTTGAGGATATTAAAATAATGCAGCCCAAACAAGCTTAAAATTCAGTTTATTTATTGAAACTAAAAAAGAAGACGCAGGTAATGATGTGACGCAAGCAAACAGAGGTACAGATAAAAATAATGCATTTGAAAAGGTCACTTTATTATTTATTACTTTTTATTATAAAACCCCGAAGATGAATTTAATGAACGCTACACTACTGCGATCCACAGACCTGCCGTCTGATAGAAATAATTAGTGTTTGGAGAACACACCAAAGCCTCGGCCCTCAGTGCTGATAAATCACTTATTTTGAAAGGTCAGCACGCACACAGTTTGGTCACAATGAGCAATGTTAGCTGTGCTGCAGAGCGGCATAACATATCGTGAACCCCCCGAGCATTCAAGACACAAATACACAAGTCTCATCCAAAGAAAACCACAGTGACGGGGAACAAAAATGTCTTCAAATCTCTTATTTCTCAACGCATCTCTCTGTACATGATTCTAAGCGTGATTAACCAGTATGATGTTTAGCTTGTGATTGGCCACAGCAGCGGTAAAAGTCTTTGACATCTGTGATCAAACGTCAGCTTTACAACTGATGCAAGTGTTCAGAAGGAGAAGAACATATTCGTATTAGTTTCCCTTTGAAAATCAACAAGCGCAGCTTCAATCGGGAGGGGAATTTAAACTGCAACATTTACGCACACAGACCAAGAAGCAAAAGGGGTTTATCAGCGTTTTGGTCCATACTGGATGTGCTGGACAGTATATAGCCATCATTATCATCCGAAGCGGAGGGTGCTTTTCCACTTTTAACCGCTCCTTGCTTCCATTGAACAGTGAGCACCCTGAGCCCTGCGCACAACACTCATTGCGGTCATTACTTCGGTGGGACTAAAATTCCTCTCTAATGTGTGAAGAAGCACCGACACTTGATCAACACCTTGTGAGCAGAACTCTACTGTATCTGGAAGGAAATAAAATGCAGCGTCTGGCTGTGAGGCAGGAGGTTAAGTCACGCTGCATTTTGTAGCTTTTAACTATTACACGACAGAAGTGCAAAGCTTTGTGCCTCTTTAAGCCCAGAGCTATAAATTCTCTTGGTTATTCTGAGAGAACCCCTCCTCCCTGTCTTCTGCTGCACGAAGACCAACAAAGGGATCTGAAAATGAGACAGGTAGGTAGAGGGATGGAGAAGGAAAGAAAGAGCAAAAGAAAGCCTGCCAGGAGACCTGAGGATGTCTCGCACTACGATGAGGTGAAGAGACAAAAGAGCGGAAAGGAACATGGATTTGAAAATGTTTCTTTCCTCTTTTCTTTTCTTGCACAAGGACAGGGACGCGGCTCATCTCGGCGGGCGTCGTCATTGCCGAACCTCCACGTAGTTGGCTGGGAAAAGGCCGTAGGCGCCTCTGCACACGCCTCGCCACCAGCCCTCGTCGATCATCTCGATGTTGGTGATGATGTCATCGGGGTCAAAGGAGATCTCGTCGTCGCCGGCTGAAACGAGACAGATCGATGACGAAGGAGCACCACAAATTCAGTCCATCATTTAAAACTGCTTTTGTTTTGGACACTGCGGGAGATTCTCATTTTATTAAAAGACCAAATTATTCTTAGAAACATTGCAGGTCCAATAGAGCAAGACTGGTCATGACTTTTAGGTACATGTGAACAACATGTTGGACTGCCGTCAGACCGCCTCTGAGGTGCAGGTCTGAAAGGGGCTCCTGTTTGTGTCAGCTAGTTTTGTTCAAGGCTAAAAAGATACAACAATGAAAGCTACGTAAAAGCAATGCATTCATTTACTTTGCTCCCAGACGCAAATCCACTCATTCTGATCTTCTAGATGCGGGTGTGACTGAAAGCTGTTGCAGCTGGGACACAAAATGAAACTGGCTCAGTCTCACCTGCTTGGTAGTCGTACAGAGCCACCGCCGTCACCCCGAGGTCCTCGCCGTACTCGTACTGTTGGCCGTCTGCAAAAGGACGACGGTTTGTTAGTCCAAGTAAAGAGACTACAGACCGACTGGTTGCCAGCTACGCTTATATGGTGCCGTTTATCTCTCAGGTAATTGGCTTGTTCAAGAGACTAAATTTTAATATTTGTTCTGAAAGGGCCCATTTTCACATTTTTGGGTCCAAATGAAAACTAGTAGGTACGAGGTCTTGGATCCGCAGTGGAACGTATTCCTTCAGGAGAATTGCACCTTTTGTGGACCTCATTTTTGAAGGGCCTAATTGCCCCGAAGGAATACGTAGCAGCCGCTGCAGCTGCTCATTTCAACACCAAAATGTATAGAAATAGGTTCCAGATTTTTTTAAAGTTGTGTGTCCTGTATTTTACTACTTGGAGTTTTCATAGCGTTAGTGTTGCTGAGGAAAGGTTGGTTCTTCAGTCCAGGCCTTCATGAATGTAGTTTTAATTGTAGGACTGTTGTATTGCGCTACATTAGATTTAGCTAGCTGTACATAATAAACTGAACTGCAAGATGGACCAAAGAATTTTCTACCTTTGTGGACAATCAAAGTTTTACTCTACTGTAAATCTGTCAATCAAGTTTTTCTCCAAAATTAAACCTTTCTTATTTGAAAATTTCAACAATCAAAAGTGATTAATCCTAACGAGTTGTGTGTGGTCAGCTGGGATTGGCTCCGGCCCCCCGCGACCCTGTACGCAGGATAAGCGGTTGACGATGGATCGACGGATGGAGTTACGGGTGAAGCATAAACGACAAATGTTTGCCTGTTTGTGTTCAACATCCAGGCAAAAGTCCCCAACAACACTTCACCTGCTGCTTGAGCCTCCACGGGGGTCTCGTAGAGTTCCTGGTCCTCCTGCGCTGCATAGATGCTCAGTGGCTCCGGCTCGTACAGCTGCTCTCCGTTCTCCTCAGCAGCATCGTAGGACGGTTCCTCTGTCTTCTAACAAGGCAAACGTACACTCTGTTTAAGTGAGATCTTCTGCGTAAAGTACTGCTACATGTAAAAACCCAGCTTCACTGTACTACTACCTCACCCCTAACTAACCAACCCTAACCCTGCCGCCACTAAGAGGTTAACTTAAATTCCACTGACAAACTAAAGGCAACAACCTGCATCTTTGTTGACAGGCTTTTCTACATTATTAACACGTGTGCTGCGTCATGATCGCCGCTTTTCTAAGTGAGAAGACTGAACACCGTCAACACACTTGTCTGAAAGGGGCTGTCCTCGCCACCTACTTTAAGCACATAACCAGTTCACCTGTGGCAGCATTTCCATCCCTTGTAATATCTAAAGTCTAAATTCTTTGTCTTCTGCCTGAAAAGTTGCACTTTAAGCCCACACCACAGAAATATCCCGTAAAACCATGACTCACCCGGTGGGTCGGGGCGGCAGCAGGCAGGACTGGGGGAGTCGGGCTGGGACTTGCAGCAGGGACAGGAGAGGGGGCCTTGGGCGTCTGTTCGATTTTACGGCGAGCCTCCTCTTGCTCCTGCTTCTCCTTGGCCTGACGACGCGCTCGCTCCTCCTCTGCCCTCTTTTTGTCTTCTTCCTCCTTCTGCTTGGCGATGTTCTCGAAGCGGGCCTTGATGCTCCCCGTGTTGCTGCCAGCTGATGAGTGGAAAATTGGAGAATGAAGAAATGAAGAGTCGACGCGCTGCCTAAACTTCTGATTCTAACCCAGCAGGCGTTAACGAATGCTTACCAGCCTCCACAGGTTTGGTTTTCTGGTAAGATGGACTCGGCTTCTCCAGCTCATCGAAAGAGCCTGCGCTCTGAACCACAGGGATAGAGACGTAAGACTGAGCTCTGTACACTTACTACACAATAACCACACAAACACTCCTTACCTTATCCATCCGGTCATTCTGGACACCAAACTTCCCTCCAAATCCTTTTGAATAATCTGGTAACAAACAGCAGATAAGTAAAAGTCACTTTGTGTTTTACATTAATGACTCAACCACAGTCGGCTTCACCAGAACTCGTTTTCCAGAACAGACCGTAAACAACTACAGGACTATTTAGTCCCGTTTAGCCTTTTCATTATTCTTTAGTATGGCACACTATTAGAGACATATCGGGCGCTTCTCTGGTCGGCTACAGTTCAGATGAAGCGGACTGTGGTTGGTTTCATAGGAACTGGGAAAGAGAACTGTTGGGATCAAGACGACGGGCCGATGAGCTCATGCAAACCTGTAGAGACGAGAAACAAAAAAACTGAATGCAGACAGTGACAGCAGAAGAGCTGAGGGGGGGAGTCGTAATGTAAGCCAAACAGTTGGGGTCAAGCAGCCATCTTGGCTCAATCTCAGGCTTTGAGCATCAGCCATGACTGTGTGGTCACAGCAGGAGGCCTTGATAAAACGTACTGTGGCCGTACAGCAGCATGCATAAGGAAACAAACAGCATCATGGCAGCGGTAGAAACAGCAGGGATCGGGTGGGGTGGGGGGGGTAGAAGGATAAATACTGCTGTATAAATGTGGGAACTGGCCATGCCACAAGAAGACCTCTGCATTTCTACATCCAACCCGTGTTGTAGTTTTGTAGGATATTTACACTAAGCTGCATACCGACGGACGTCACCTGGCCCAAAACGAAAGCTGTCTGTAGCGGGAAACGGTCAAACTGTGCTCACTATTTCATACAGGTAGAGTGTTGAAACAATAACAGCAACAAAAAAGAGGCTCGGAGGAGGAATGTGCCACACCTGAGCAAATAACTAAAACTAACATGTAGATAGTTTCTGTTTTGTCTGCCACTGAAACTTTTCATCAGTTCATCTATCTATCAGCTATTTTTTAACATGCATGAGAAGTCCTCCATTTTATTGAGCTCATCTGCTGATGAATATCATGTGATGTGATCAACAAATCTAGTAAATAGACCTCCTGGTGTGTTTCCAGGATCAAGGATGAACTTTGATTTTACATTTTCTACCAAAGAAACAGTACCAATATTAAATGTTGACCATCAGATCATTTTGATTAACTGAGACTTGGTTTCTGGAAAAATATTGGCGTTCGTCTCAGCAGCAGATGTCTCAAGCCAGAACCATCGGCATGGCAGGATGCTGCCAGAGGTGAGAAAACACCCTTTTTCTAATTTGCACGAGCTGAAAATGAGCACGTCTACATCGTGCATGTAGACGTGCTCATTGTAAATCGGTTGGTGCTGCACAGGTGGCAGGGTGTGGCACGGGTGGGGGTTTCTGACAGAAGGGGTCTGTGACTTAAAAGAAAACAGCCATTACTGAGGATGAGGAGGACGGTGTGAAGGACAGAGTATCAAGCTTGGAGCACGGATTTTGTTTTCTGGAGAAGGGTGGGTAAGGAGCAGGAGGGGGTTCTGAAATGGTGGGGTAAGGTGTTGTGTTCAGGGAGTATCTGTGCCTTTCTGGGACTCGTGCTTGGCCAGGCTCTCCTTGTGCTCATAGCCCAGGGCACACTGGTCCTGCTTCTCCACCTCTACCCCATACTTCCCTCCAAACCCACGTTTATAGTCTGCAACATAACACACAACCATGTAATATACACACACAGACAGACACAGAGAAAACGAGACACTCGAGAGGCCTTTCACGATTCACAAACACGCTCAGTGATGTGGAGACACAGATTTAAAAAGAGGAATCTTCTATTTTACATGATGTTGATGATGGATTCCTTTGATTAAAATCGCTGCAGAGCTCTTTCTAAACATGATCAAGGTCTGTGGTCAAAGCTCTAGCATAAACTCTCTTCAGCAGGTCTGCTTCCTGCAAAACCGTTTCTGCTGCAGTCACTTCCTCTCTCTGCACAACACAAATCTTTCCCTCCTCTGTACCTGCTTCATTTCTTTGCTTGACCCCTCTCAGGGAGGAAATGGTGACATTTAGTGACTGGATATGTTGACTGACACAATGTCTACCACCAATTTATTTATTATATTTAAAAAAAGTTTTAGTGGCGTATTAATACACATCCCATTTGGCTGTGAACTAGAATCTAAACTTACATTTGGCAGAAGCCACAGGAAGACGTAAAAAAATCTAGCCTTGTGTTCTACTTCTGTTTACATGAAGCTGTACACTGCTTGACACCTGGCCCAAAATGGAGACCATTTATAGCGGGACATGAGCAGGCTTTAAAACTCTTTCGTTTACATACTGGTACCAAAAAAACAACAACAAAAAGGCTAAAAATTCAAAACCACAAACCGGCGGAGAAGGGAGGTCATATCTCACATCTGCCCGTCTGTGCTTCAGAATTCTCTCTCTCAATTTCAGTTTCTCTCAGAGAGCCATGCCTCTACTGCTGTCAGTTGGAGAGCGACAGAGGTTGTGAAGTGACTGGAGCTTTGGGCATTTTTATACATGTTCAGTTGCTGCACGGTCAGATTATGAGTTTGGGAAAGTTGCAGATCAATGCAGGCCACACTGAATGTCTAAACTGTTCATCAAAAACTAAATAAAATGGCTTTTAGTTTTGAACACTTAGAGTAAGTGCAGTAGTAAAAAAAAAACATCTAAGTTCCTCTGTATGACATCATCCGCTAAAAGCCTGACATGCAAACGTAAATCTGAGCTGTGGTTTCACTTCCTCTATTTTAGCCTTTTTTAAACCCGCAGATTGAGGAAGTTGTCAACCTTTGAAAGACCACATCCAAAGCCACAATAAAACCACATCAGAGCTGAAGTGCAGGGCTCAGGAGGAAGAGAGGTTTTACAGTAAACACACTGTGTGCTAAACTCAAAGCAGACAGCTTGTAAAGGCTGAGGTTTGGTGGGTACTCTCCCCGTTCAAAGGTCTAGAAAATGTCAAATGCAGAGTTTGATGTGCAACAATTTAAACAAGAGACACGTGTGGCTATCAGCGTTTCTTCTCCTTTGGTAGAAAACAGCAACAAAAGGAAATATAAAGAAGCTCTATGGCCAATATTCCACGTTTAGTCAGAAAAAGGGAAATTCCTTATAACAACAACATACATCATTTATGATAGATTCTATCATCCAGTAGCTAATTACTATTCCTTTGATATATTTACAATGAGCCATTGATCAAAACCTACAACGAGTACAGTAGTGTTGTAGTACTTGGTCTCGAGACCGGTCTTAAGACCACTTTTTGATGATCTCGGTCTTGTCTCGGTCTGGCCGGTCTTGACTACAACACTAGAGGACAGTATACAAACTGACAAGCCTCAGCTGAAGGTGACTGGTGTTTAGCTGGTGTCGATTCTTCTCCCTGGTTATGAACATTAAAAACTGAAACCATCAGCTTTGGCTTACATTTGATGTGGCATCATAATTCTGACAAAGGCATTTGCAGTTTACTTGTTCTTATACTTATTTGGGTATACACACACACACACACACACACACACACAGTCTCTCCCTTAAAACCCATAGAAACCAAATCAGAACCAGTACCTTTCTGGGACTCGTGGAGCTGTAGTTTCTCCTGGTGGTCCCATCCCAGCGCCGATTTATCCTGTCTGTCCGTCTGCACACCAAACTTTCCCCCAAAGCCCTTCACATAGTCTGCAGAAACACAACACACACACACCGCAGACATTAACCACCAAACATGTTCCTGAAACCTAACTGTCTTTGGTTGAATTACCTCAAGTAGGAGTGGATGATGTAGATAAAATTGTTATATTGCATCAGTAATAAACTGGATATTGTGATGTAGGGAATTTCTTGGTACTTCTATTGACAAACTGGTTATATATAAAATAACCTGATAAGAATGTCTTGGCTAATCCAGTTATTTAAATATATAACGGCATGGTGGTATAACTAAACCTCTACTAGTATCTCAGTATGCCACATCATATTGCCCTACCTGTAGAAAACATCACAAAATTTCATATTTTCACATTGCACAGTGGGAATATTCACTAACGTCTGAAGAGCGCCCAGGCGGTAAGCTCAAAATTAGAAAAGACTAAAAGGTGAACGTGAAAATGTGTAGACAGTCACAGATGTACAGCAGGTGATTCTTAGTAGGACGAATAGTTTTAAACAAATCTCACATTATTTCATTGTGCCAGTTTAACCAATTCCTGTCACTGGAGCAGATGCATGAAGTAAGCACAATCAACAAATCATGAGTGAAAACATGCAAGCATGAAAACAGACAGATGCGTCTTTTGCACAGTTTTAACACTGGTGCATTAAAATGTCTGCGCCTGTTATCTGAGCACGTTACCCAGTTATCACATATGCAAACCTAGGCAGTAAACAAAGCCCGGTGTATTGTGGGGAATTCGAGGTCATCTACACCTTTGACGTCAGCCCGTATCTGTTAAGCTGCAGTTGGCCAACCAGGCGGTAAAGTCTGCGCAGGTGTGTCAGAGCTGCACAGGCAAAGCTGCACTGCTGTGTTGCAACTGAAAGTCCAGACAAGCCAAGACAGACACGAGGGTGTGACTCAAGTGATCAAAACAAACTGCAAGTACAAATTCTGATGATTTGGAAACAAACTGAAGTCATTTTAATGGTTCGTAGGTTCATTTTCTATCATGGAAAGTATTTTCATAAACAGACTATATGACCTTTTCCCAATATTACACCAAGATATGTACCGGCTCAGTGCTCTCTGGTTTGTTTTTCATATCAAGTGGTGCATGAGATGATACCAACCTTTCTGTGACTCGTGCCTCTCCGTTTTGCCCTGGTACTCAAAGCCCACAGCGCTCTTGTCCACCTTGTCTGTTTCAACACCAAACTTGCCGCCAAAGCCCTTTGCATAATCTGCCAGTGGCCAGAGCAGAGGAGGGGGAGAAATATGTTATGGCAGGAAAAGGTGGAGCACAGTTAAGCCATGGCACACATCTTTCACCACCAGATGTTTCTCTCCTCATGTAACAGCACAACAGACATAAAATGAGATTTGACTTTGGTGTAAATAAACAATATTTCCCCCCCAAAAAACGTCTGTTGTTTCTCTTATGTATGCATTTTGACTCACTACAGTTTATGCACGATATCATGGGGACATGTTGTTTAGTATCTTTCTGTCAAAGTGTACATTTTTACATTTGACATATAAACTAAGAGCCCAATATAATAGAAAAGAAGAAAAAGAATCAGTCAACTGGAAGAAAACCGATACCTTCATAACAAAGGACATGTTTAAAAGGAAAAAGTATACCCAATTAAAATATCCCACACCCCCAGAAAACCAGCTGGGTCATGCCCAAACACAGGGCAGGAGGCGCTGGCAAGTCTGTGCCAGTCACCTGATGTTAGATGAAGAGGGAGCCATAACACTTTCAAGGAAACAACATCTCAGAAAGGAAACCTACAACCAAAAAGTTCTTAAAGTCCTCTGAGGCAGATGTCTTGTCTTACAAACACTATAATAAAAATGTATTATTTGACACTGGGGCGAACAAACATCCCATCACACATGCAACTCAGGGAGCTCAAATGAAAACAAAGCCATTGTTTGCAACCTTACATAAGCAAGCAAAGGCTGAGGAATGAAGGAAGAGGAATAAGCGCAAACTGACATTAATCGTCAGGATCTGTGCTCACAGAGTCAGGCCAAGTTGTTTGTAAGAGTGTGTGTGTGTGTGTGTGTGTGTGTTAGTGCCCATCGATTAGCCACATTTTCTCCGTTTCTTTCTGGGTTAATGGGAATGCCCGTGGCAGGAAATCTCGACAAACCTTTCTGGGACTCGTGTTTCTCGGTTTTGCCCTGGTAATCGAAGCCCACTGCACTCTGGTCAACACGATCTGCCTGCACTCCGTATCGCCCCCCAAACCCAGTGGTGTAATCTACACAGCAAAGCAGGGGGGGGCAAGGGTCAAAGGTCAGGGTGAAGCAGCATGGAAGCAGTGGTCACAAAGCGGCGGCCCAATTCCAAATTAACATTTACTGGCAGTAGCCAGAGCTACGACAGAATCAAAACACTTCACACAATCAGATCATGCTGTTTTTAAATCCAAGTTCCTTCCGCTGTGTTGTTCTGCTGCTGGAGCAAAAAGAAGGAGAACGGTGACATTAATGAGGAACCACTGGAATTGGGCAAATGTTCCGCACTTCTGTACAGAGTACTGTGGAGGGGATGAACGCAACACAAAGGTGATGGCAGTATGACGTCATGGGAATGCAGCCTTAAAATAGTGAACGCTAAGAAGCCAGAGCACAGGGGTCACTGTTCATACTGTACACAGTGCAGTGTGCAAGTATTAGGAGTAGTTCTGTTGTGGCTCTGTCCAGCACATTGGACCTCAAATGTGATAATGAGGATAATGTGCTGAATTTCAGCTTTAATCTGAATGTGTAACACACTCCTTTAAAGTCTGCACTTACACCTTGTTTCATCATCACATCTAATGTGCTGGAGTGCAGAGCCAAAGAACAAAATGCCACTTTCATATCACTTACAAACTGTGCTGTAACTTATAATATGGCAGGAAAACAAATGCATAACAGCAGCTTGATTAGCCAACACAATGAACACATTTTCCAAACACGGTCTGCCTGTACTGCAGGGTCCTGACACAGCAGAGATCAAGCAGCCTCTGATCAGCACAACAGGAGTGCATGTGGCACAGCTGGCCACCAGCCAGATGCTCATCAAACTGTGCCTGGAAAATATGTCTCCTGTAGGCAATTTGGAAAGCTTTCGCTGTTGACAAAACCTAAATGGCTGATAAGGAAGTTAGTTCCATGGGATATGGAGGTCCACCAAACTAAACTACAGGTGATCTGTCTGGGCCCAACCCATCTCATCTTAAAGAGCTCATAGTACCTTGCTACCCCACCGGAGCGCAGAATGGGAGCCAGAGCGTTCAGCTATCAAGCTCCTCTCCTGTGGAACCAGGTTCCAGTTTGGGTTCAGGAGGCAGACACCATCTCCACATTTAAGAGTAGGCTTAAGACTTTCCTCTTTGATAAAGCTTATAGTTAGGGCTGGCTCAGGTAGTCCTGAACCATCCCTTAGTTATGCTGCTATAGGCCTAGACTGCCGGGGGATTTCCCATGATGCACTGAGCTCCTCTCTCCTCTACTTTCTCTCCCTCTGTATGCAACCTCATCCCATTATTGCATGTTACTAACACAACTTCTCCCCTTTCCGGTAGTCTTGTGCTTTCTCGTCCCTCTCCTCTCTCCTCCTATCACTTCCTGCAGGTTTTCTGGCTCTGGAGCTGTGGAGTCTGGATCTGTGGTTGCGGGTCACCTGCTGCCCCCGTGTTCCTGCTCGACACCCTCTGCTGCAACGACTATTGTTACTAGTCCTATCGTCATCATTATTATGGCTAGTCTAGGTTCTGCTGGTTAAAAGGAGTTTTTCCTTGCCATGCTTTCTCATGGTGGGAATTGTCGGGTTGAGTACGGTCTAGACCTGCTCTGTTATGAATCGGGTATTAATATATAAATAGAGCTGATTTGAAATCGAAACTGAAGCAGACGTGCAAAAAGTCGTCAAGTTGTGACATCACCTCTCTGCGAAGCGTGTTTCTCCGTCTTCCCGGCATACTCAAACCCAACAGCTGACTGGAATAAAAGAGAAAGAAGCAACACAATTATTACTACTACTGACTACTTTCCACTGTATGTGACAGTTTTATCCCTGTCACAGTCCTAACCATCTGTGAAAATGTCAGTTTTTATATTTGATCCACTGCTGAACTGCTACACTTTCAAGTGTAACAGCAATAACTCTTGATTTTTAATCTAAATATGGACTTCGGACAGCTTTTACAGAGGCTCTTTTACAGAGCGACTTACAATTGCTGTACATGTCAGAGGTCGCACGCCTCTGGAGCAACTAGGGGTTAAGTGTCTTGCTCAGGTACACACTGGTGGATGGGTCACAGTGGGGAATTGAACCCGGGCCTCTCACACCAAAGGCGTGCGTCTTCTCCACACCAGATTTGTTGACTTTTGTTGCCGTTTCATCACCATTTATAGCTATACAATGGGTTTATGATCACATAGTTTACTAGAGCACAACATTGTTTAAAAGAGGTCAAAGTTCTTAATTTTGCACCACATTAATGCATGTCACTTTAAAATGTCGGTCCGGGGCCCACCCACCATAGTCTCATAAACTCCTGTGGTAAACACTGCTATTGAACCCAGCCCAGGTGCGTGTCATTTCTTTAACATCTACCCAAAAACCATGTTTAAAATCAAGGAGATGTTGTTATCTAGTGTTGAACAGCCGCTGGAAATACCTGGTCAACGCGGTCAGCTTGCACTCCGAACTTCCCTCCAAAGCCCTTGGAGGTGTCTGTCTGGGAGCAGTGCTTGGACAACTTGCTCTGGTAGTCATGACCCACAGCTGACTGCACAGAAAAGACAATTTTTTAAAAAAGGGAACCACTCAGGGGGGTAGGGGTCCTGAAAAGAACGCCAAAGCTGGAAACAGCCAGCAGTTTGAGGTGGCGACATTGACTCATCAGTGTGGAGTAAACAGTGCTCCCTCATCACATTCACGCTGCAATGACCACACAGCCCAGAGAGAGAAAGGTGTGGATGGACAGAGCTGCTTGCCAGGAAAGATAATCGAGTGTGAAATGGCCACAACTGACTCAGCATGTTCGCACAAACACAGAGAGAGCGAGATGAACGTCTGAGAAACAGCTGCAGAGGCTCAAAGGACTCTGAGGTCCTTCAGATTTGTAAAAATGTTGGCATCTCAGATTTTCAAAAAGAAAAAAATGTAAGCTACAAAATGGTAGATTATTTTTTAGTAACAGAAACCAGGATCTAGCGAGCTGGTTTATATTTCGTTCCAGCTGCAAGAAAACTAGTTTCAGCCCTCAAACGAAAGTGACACACTGCTTGCACTGTAGCTGTACACGGGCAAGATATTCAGAATAAAGTGGAGGGAAAAAGGTAGATTAGGTCAAAAGGCACTGTACAGATTGATCTGTGGTGTAGTGCTACACACATCATTGATCTACAGATCGAGTAACAGTCAACAATGAGGGCTACAGCCCAATAGAAGAGAAATAAATGTTTGTCCACAAGTCTGTTACATATCCTTTCAGTAAACTGACGACGACATGACAAAATGACTTCCTGCTGGACAAGGATATAAGAATATTCGGGCTGTGAAGGTTCTGAAACCGAGGCTGACACGTTCCAAGAGACAGTTTCCACATGCGCCATGTTTCATAAATTTACCCGCGATTCAGTTTTCGCCCTGCCGCATGTGGATCAAAACCGAAACTAACGTTAGTGAGTGACATCTGCAGTGGTGCGTTCACTGTCGCTCGGTAATGTAAAATTTACTCCGTGTCAGCTTAACGTAACATCAGACAACACATAACAAAATAAAAACAAGCCTCTCCTGACGGATAGCATAAAACAGCAGCAAACAGTAACCAATGGTTTTTACAAATCATAAATCCTTTCTTAACGCCATCTGCTGAAACAAAAAAATAAAGTAAAGTAAATTCCGACTTTTGAACTACTGTTTTTCTGCACATGCACTGATAAAAGCAGTATTCAGCACTTTTACAAAATGTAAAACGTTCTCCTGGACGAGTGCATCCACCACTGGCGGTAAGTTTCACGTTGCTGCGACACAATAATGGAAAGAATGGCCATCTGCCTCCCTCTCTATTCTTACTTAAGCCTTTTGGCTAATAGTTGACTTGAACAACTTATGGTCCTGTGCCGCTGACCTGCCGCACATTCACGCATTCACGTCGAAGACAAGACATTCTTCAAAAGGACTGTTTTTTTCTTGGGAAGGCACTTATTAAAAGAAACCGTCCTCAAGGGCTATTTAGTAGCAGATGGAGATCCATCGGCTGATGAAAGCTCCAGAACAGCTACTAAATGGCCCCGAACTTCAGTATTACTTTTGCAGCATCACCATTTCATCAGGCAACGCAGCGATAAATCAGGGACACCGCTCTTTAAAAAAGGCAAAATGTAAATGTGAAAGCAAAAAACAAAGGGGTTGATCTCTGAGCAGAAGTCTTGCGGCCCCTCCTACCTTGTCCATGCGGTCCTGCTGCACTCCAAATTTTCCTCCATATCCATGCGAGGCCTTTGGCATGGTGTCCAACTCCTTCTTCTTCAGGCTGGTGTGCTCCGTCGAAACAGTCTCACGCAGCTGGTGGATACTATGCCAAGAAGGGACAGAGTAAGGACACAACCTTCCATGTTGCATTTAATACCAAAAGGAAAAAAGCCTCGCTTCCTCACTCTATGTGCTCCTGATGTCCTGAGCCCGACACCGTCTTGGCCCCCCAGCGCTGCTCCTTCTCCGATACATCATTCTAGAAATCCAGAAAATGAGTGACGTAGGCAAGAAATGATGAGGAGAGTGAAGGGGAAAAGGGACAGAGGAAGAAGCATGTAGAGGTACCTCAAAGTCAGGGTCGGTCTCCCAGTCGTCCCCTCCGTCATTTACAGCCACACTGACTGACTGTCCTGCTGCTGCCTTCCACATCTTTAGTACAACACACACTGAAAGACAAGAAAACCTAACGTGAGAAAAACACGGCAGAGAAACCAGATTCAAGGATATATATGTCTAATGATAAGCTCAGGGTTTTCAAAGCTGAAGAAGGCCATGGAACACAGTCAAAAGCTCTTGGAAGCGCTCAGTAAGCTGCCCTTGTGTTTCCACTATTTCTCAAATCTATCACCATCATCTCTCATCGCTTGCAGAGCTGGAAAAATGTATGATTAATCACTTAGTGAAATGTAGAAAACTAGAAGTGATTTCTCGTTTAAGTCATCTATCAAACAAACACTGCACCATTCTTTGTTTCCATCATCATCATCATCATATATCAAACTGAATATCTCTGGGTCTACAAACAAGACATGTGAAGACGTCGACTTGGAAACTGGGATGGACATATTTCGCACACAACAGACTAAATGAGTAATCGATTAAGGAGTAAGCAAATGAATTGATTCTGAAAATAACTGTTAGTTGCTGGCTGCCCTACTCGCATCCATATTGCACTGAAGGAGTTACTGGTTGCTGTTGTCTTTCCTCCTGCCCATACTGGCTGTGAAACGATGCCTTGCTAATGAGACTCCTACGTTAAAGATGGGGATCAAAGTCCACAGTCCCGTTCCTTACGAACGTGCCTTCTAAGGTTCAGCTGCGCTAAAATGAGGCTTCAGAGTTTGAAAGCTCGCAAAGGACAGTGGATTTGGTTGGTATATTTAAGGCTGCAAATATTTTCAGTGGCGATTAATCAGCCAATTATAAAAAAAAAAAAAAAAGGTTCCATCACAATTTTCTTTTCTTTTAAACGCATGCGCTTTGTGATATTCATGGACAGGCTATCGAGGCGTAGTCGTGGTGGGGAGGGGTTGCAGTTCGGTGGATCTCGTCACTGCTTTTTGCGGATGATGTGGTGCTGATGGCATCATCGGCCCGTGACCTTCAGCTCTCACTGGATTGGTTCAAAGCGGTTGGGATGAGGATTAGCACCTCTAAATCTGAGGCCATGGTTCTCAGCAGGAAACCGGTAGAGTGCCAACTCCAGGTAGGGAAGGAGTTCAAGTACCTCGGGGGCTTGTTCACAAGTGAGGGGAGATTGGCCGGAGAATCGGAGCAGCGGTGGCGGTATTGCACTCGCTTTACCGCACCGTTGTGACCAAAAGAGAGCTGAGCCGTAAGGCAAAGCTCTCGATCTACCGGTCAATTTTCATTCCTACCCTCACCTATGATCGTGAAGGCTGGGTCATGACCGAAAGAACGAGATCGCGGGTGCAAGCGGCCGAAATGGGTTTCCTCAGGCGGGTGGCTGGTGTCTCCCTTAGAGATGGGGTGAGAAGTTCGGCCATCCGCGAGGAGCTCAGAGTAGAGCCGCTGCTCCTTTGCGTTGAGGTGGTTTGGGCACCTGGTAAGGATGCCTCCTGGACGCCTCCCTAGGGAGGTGTTCCAGGCACGACCGGCTGGGAGGAGGCCTCAGGGAAGACCCAGGACTAGGTGGAGAGATTATATCTCCACACTGGCCCGGGAACGCCTCGGGATCCCCCAGTCAGAGCTGGTTAATGTGGCTCGGGAACGAGAAGTTTGGGGTCCCCTGTTGGAGCTGCTGCCCCCGCGACCCGATCCCGGATAAGCGGATGAAGATGGATGGAGAAGGATGGATAAATGCATTAGTCACAGAGTTGAAGTTACTGGTGTCAGCCCGGTATCTCTATAAATCACTTCTACATTTGACAAGTCTGCACCTTTCAGAATATAAGGATGTGGAGGTCGCAGAGGTGGACAAACGTGTAAGACGTAATAGTTTACATCCCGTCAATTAACATTATTAGGTGTCACCACGGTCTTTGCACAACCATACTTTAGTAGCCATGTAAAGATACTGGACAAAATTTTAAATGCCTGACATAAAAAAAATGTTTTAATTGTAATCCAAGGTTTTGCAGAATCATCGAACGTTGACGTTCTTACAAGGTGACAGTAGTCATATGGTAGAAATAAACATTGATGCTGAAATCTGTGCAAACTGATTAAAAAAAACCAAGAGGACGGTTTGCTGAACCATTACCGTGGATTCAACCTCATGACCTCAGCCTAGATGGGTATAAACTATGAGGGTGCCGCGATCTGTCAGGAGCGACGGCTGCAAAGTAAGTCGCTAATGTTACTGTACATGAGGATGATTTATTATTATTATTCATTTTTTAACTTTGTTTTAGGGTACATCTTGCGGGGCAGAGGTCATGTAGTAGAATCCACCCCCATCACAATTTTCAATATCCCAATGACCAACAGTCCAACACCAAATCAAATGAAATAGGGAAATAGAACTAAAGAGTGTTTGACATTTTTTGCTCGTACTATTAATTTAGTTGCTTGTACTTTTCGATCAACTGACTAAGTAAACAAAATCACATCAGTCCTGTTTAGCCTCCCTTCACTGGTTACCTGTAAGTTTTAGAGTTGATTTTAAGATTTTCCTGATCACTTTTAAAGCACTTCATGGTTCTGCTCCCAGCTACATTGCTGAATTGCTGCTCCCCTAGGAGCCAGAGCCAGATCCTCGGGCAGGGCTCTGTTAGCTGTTCCTAAGCCCTGGTTTAAGCCTAAAGGTGACCGGGCTTTTGCAGTTAGAGCCCCTCAGCTCTGGAGCGCCCTGCCCGAGAACTTGAGGCTCGCAGGTTCGGTGACGTCTTTTAATAAATCACTTCTCAAGACAAATACAACCATTTTAACTGTATCACTGTTTTGGAATATTATTTCTTTTTAGGAGAGTTTAAATTGCCTGATTTATTTTGCCTCTGTCTTGAAATGCTTTTAATTTGTGTTCACCCATGTAAAGTAATTTTGTAACTTTGTTTTATCTGTCTTGATAAGTGGTGTATAAATAAAGTTTATTATTCTTATTATAATGATTAATCAAGTAATTGTTTGAGCTCTACTTACATTTGAGTCACATACACACAAGGATCAATTCACGGCCAGTATAGACAGGTGGACTGTATTAATATAGATTGTTCTTCATGATGGATTGTCTTTGAGGAAATGTTCAATATCTGTCAAATCCTGCTGAATCACACTGACCTGCACTGAAACATAGATGCTGCAGCGCTAAATGATGAATAACTGTGTGTGGCTGGTTCTGTGTGATCTGGCATCGAACTGGAACAAAACCCTTCCTGTGCTAATCCTTATTCCTGACTCAGCACAAAGTGGTCAATCAGCATCTGTGTTCAATCAGAGGCTGCAGGAGACGTGGCTCCGCTCACCTCCTGGCAACTCCCAACTTCACACGAGTATCTCCACAACACAGCCACATTAACCATTAAGATTTAGATTTAATTTTACTTTTAGAAACATACGGTTGACAATTGCATATAAAATGTTGTTTTACGTTTCTGTGTCAAATTTGAGGAAAGTGCGCAAAATAATCAAAAATATTTGCTATAAAAAACTGTGTCTGAATGTTTACATTTGGCGCCAATAATCTCTCAGAGGTCCACAATTAGCCTACAGATTAATTAGCATACTACCACCATGTCAAAGGCAACTGAAAGAGTACTAGCCACTGTGCTCAAATTAGCTTGCGATGTGGCATTTAAGGTATACTGCTTTTTTAAACACCTAGACCACATTGGACCAGGTCCAGATCAAAAACCACTGTGCCTAGATCTGTCAAATCTAGACTAGATTATCTCAGAGAAGCCAGATACTCTTTGAGACACAGCTTCAGATTTGTGAAACACTTCCTGTATGTGTAAAAATGCCCAAATAAGGGGGCAATGTCACTGCTTCGGGGGGGGGGGTTACACCTAGATCACATTAGACCAGGTACAGATCAAAAACCACTGTGCCTAGATCGGTCAAAGCTGAACTAGATTATCTCAGAACAGCCCTGCTCACATCTATGCAAACGGTTCAGTCTTTCTTCAGAAAATGCAATCAGGTGTGGCTGTGAGGTGCAGATGAAGGTAACAGGGAGGAGCTGGGAAAGGAAGCTCCTTACTTACATTAATGTCGGTTAGTTTGCTTCATTCACAGTAGGTCAGGCCACATATATAAAGACTTGTATTAGATAGAAGTGTAGATTTCCCCATTAAAGCGCAGCCAACAAACACTCGCGCTGTGGGTTTTTTTCCTTGCACACCAACTTCACGGGAACACAAACGTCGTGTCGTTTTTAAGGTCATCTCCGGCTCAGACAGGCTTTGGAAACGAGACGTGATGTTAGCAGCTCGTTTAACGTTAAGTGACAGAAAAAGGTGCCTCTTTTAGCTCCTGAATCTGAAGTCTGCCCGTCTCTGGCATTTCCTGTTCCAGTTTTCCCAGTTAGCTAGCTGGCTAAAGCTAGCGCCGCCTCCTGGAATGATGAAGTGACTCAGCGCGAGCTTCTGTTCACAGGTGAGACATTTCACTCTGCTCGTTTCTTCAACACTCACCGTCTGCGGCGAAGGAGCTCCGACCACCGTCCAAAGTCACGTTTGCCTTGGTTCCTCTGCCGGAGGAACAGTAACGTCGCTGGAGACTCTGCTGCTGCTGCTCGCGCTCTCTCTCCGCGGCTCTTCCGGCTCTCCCACTATCCCGTTCTCCGCCAGTGCTGACGTCATCAGTGGGCGTGGGACTGTAGTGATTTGATGATGACGTCCCAGTTAGGCCAAAATAATTAGACATCTGCGCACTAATGCTTTTTTATTTAAAATCAAGGCAGACCTCCATCTGCTACCTGTTCTTATTTTTTAAATATTTTACACAGCACTCTGTTACTGTACGATCTTCCCAGACTCTACATACTCCTGGCTTTTTAAACTCAATTGGTTTCTCCACTGCCATAAGTAACTAACTGCTCTCAAGAGGGCCGAGCAGAACCTCTAGTATTGGGTTAGGGGGGGGGTCTTGCCACTTTTTAAAAGCATTTCATGAAAATGTTCTGAAAAATAGCAACAAGAAATGTTAACTAACAAATTAAAATGCTTTGAGAAAGGCTTATGTTCACAAAAAGAAAACATGCAATACAATTTAAATATGGAAGAAACTAATGTGCCCTATCAAAAAAGTAACTTAAACTAAAAAAAATTCAACAAGCTCATTACTGCTTTATATTTATCTTTTTATATTTTAAATTGTCACCTCCCACCGGAATTGCGTTTCCCTTTGTATAAATACAGACACTTCCACCATAATCTGTGCAGAAAGTGTCTACAGAATGCAGGAAATTAAGTGTCTTAATGCTCAGACATTTCTTCTTATATTTCTGCATTGAATATTTCTTCAAAGTAGTGTTAAAAAAATCTTATCACGAACCCCATATTGTGAGCCAAGTGTATCATCACACCCCTAATCTGAGCCCCTATGTCACCACCATTTTTAACACAAAGTGACACCCTTGCCAGGGATGATGATGTAAATAAACACAGTACTTATAATTTCACCTCCTCTGATAAAGATATATTGTGTTGTTTGCATCTTTGTTATATAAAATCTGTCTTTTCTTTGAGAGCTCTGGATTTCTCAAGTAACAAACAGGTGGAAAATATAATACGATGAATTCATTGTTACTGTGTATTTCATGTCCTCAGTTGCAACTGGTGAATTCCGTTATTTAGAAATGTATAAAATAAAATAAAAAACATTGTTTTGTGTCAGACAGCAGTGCACAATCACTAATCCTTTGCAGTAATTTAGATCACTTTGCAGAAAAGAGTTTTAACTATGACAGGAAAAAGGTCGATGTCTATCAGTGTCAAAAAGCAACATTAAATCACCTTTGATATATTATAAGATCATAAGAACTTCCAAGGGAGAGTGAACACTTTACTGTCATTTCCTAGGAACCTTTCCCTATATTAGTTCCAAATTACATCCTTCTTTCCAGAAAACCTCTGGGAAATCATTCAGAAATAAAGCATTTGACCTTTCCAACAAACAGTGTCGCCTCATCGCTGCCTGAAAACCGATAGATGAGTTTAGATGCTGCCCTTTGCCACATATGGCAAAAAAGTAGGCTTGTCAACTGGAAACAAAAGGTGGACAGGAAAAGGCAAGATATTCTTGAAAAGAAAAGATTTAGTCTTTTTCTTTATCTGCAGTGGAAAATAAGTTTCAGTATTTTATTGAAAGTAAGCAATAAATAATATTGTGATAAAAATAGTTTATAAGTACTCAGACTGTACATCATTGTTACAAGATCAGAAGATTCAACGGGAAGAGCAGGAATAAAACAGCAACATGATTTGCATTGTGCATAAATGACTAAATCACATACAGAAAAAAAGCATTTCTACTTTGAGCTTGAACTACATGTAGGGTGAAAGAAAGGTCTTCGGTTCCTTCTCATTTGTCATGAAAACTAATGCTGGAACCTGTGTTTGGAGCGTGGACAGGACAGCGAGGAGCGTTGCTACATTCACAGAGGAGCAAACTGGCGCATCATCTCTGAAAGTAGAACTGACGAAAAACAGTGTGGATGAGTAATAATAAATAAGAACAGAACACAGAGAGGAGTTAAGAAACAATAAGGCTCGATATGAAATCTTCTTAAAAAAGGTTTGGGGGTGGATCGCACCGCCTTGAGGGTTATCTAGTCACAGCGGGGATCGACTGAGGCCTCGGTGAAGTTGGTCCATCGAAGGAGTCGCCACACTTCCGACTCATCTGTACATTTAAAGTCCTCCTGTTCCTCCAGAGGTGAGGGAGGTTTGCTTTTGTTAAAGGGGTAAGCTGGGTGTGGAAGGGCGGGGATAAGTGGAGAAGTTTCTGCATGCAAGGTCAACGAGAGAGAACCTCAAATTCTGTTTTCACTCGCATCCGAAAGAAGCCCTGTTTTTTTTCCCCCTCGCTACTGTTATATGGCTTTAATTCTTAAATTCAAGAGTTTCATTTTGGTTTCGCAGATATGGAAAATAAAGAAGAGAAAAGGAAAACATAACGTGTGTTTCACATGATATCTGCTGTCATCATCACCTGGCTTGCCAGCAGTTATTCTAATGGTGATGGATGACTCACAGTGTTGAGCAGTTTGTGAAACACTGACAACTCCAGCAATTTGTCTGATATTCACACATCCATTTACCTAAGAGCTGCATTTACACAAAATCACAAGAAATAAGCTACAAAAATTACAACAGTTAAAAAGGGCAAAGGATATGAATTAAGTTATATATCACATATCAAAGTCACTTAAGCATAAATTCAATGATTAGAATTCAATTCAAAAGAGAGGAAAACAAAAACATACATCTGGTCAATAGAATCAGTATTATAAAAAAAGATTAGATAAAATGTCTGTTGGTAGAAATATACAAACTTCAGACAAGTGAAACATTCAGTTACATACATCTGAGAGCTGAGCTTAATACGGGCACAGTGGAAAGGTTTTCTTTTTTTAAAAAGTGGGTTGATTAAGGGGAGAGAGGCAAAAAGGGATTACATAGTAATTTTAAAATCAATTTAAATGTCCCATCGGTTTACATTAATGTAATAAACAAACGTAGATAAATCCAGAAAATTTCCTCAGGGAGTGGTGAGTGAGTTTTTTTCTCTGTGACGACGACAAAAAACCAAAACACCGTTTTAGTGTCCTTGCAAGTCATTTCAGTTCATCATCCTGGTCTTGAATGCGGGGAATTCCCCTTCATCCTCTGACCAGCGGTTACCTATAGAAATAATGAGGATAAACTGAGAAGGGGAAGAGAGAGGTGAACGGGCATGAGAGGGGAAGCAGGGCAGGAGCCAGGGATGTGTGGGGGGAGAAACAAAGGGAAAGAGAGGAGAGGCGTACAACGTGCGTTATTAGAGCCGAGAACTGCAGAAGAAGAAAGCTGCTTTCTGCTTGGAATAAGAGAGCAGCGAGGTAAATAGCCATTCTGTGTGCTTTGATTGTACACATGCTTCCCTGATTTCAGAGTTGATGCATGTTATCTTACCGTTGTATGTTAACAAGAGTAGGTCCTGACTGTGGCAGTGTCCAGCCTCTGTATAGACTGACTTCCTGTGTTCCCATGTTGGCAGAATCACATGCAAAGACATGCCATTAGTCACAGCACAATAAACCAACGGCAAAGCAGCAAAGCCACACAAGAAGAAGTAAGAGTTCACGGCAGAGTACAAGGAATCTGGGATGATTCAGGGCCCGTCAGAGAAGCTCTACTTGAGTAGAGCAGCAGCACTGACAGAGCAGATCACACACAAACACATGCACACACTTCTACTTACCGTCCATCGGGCTCCTCTTTGGCTGCGTGGAGGGAGATGCTGCGTTGCTACTGGTCACTCGGAAGTTGGCGGGCAAGGTGTCTGACGCACCCAAGGACATCCCCCTCACGTCTTTGGGCCTGAACTTCTTTCTCCATGAAGGAGCTCGGCGGAAGTTCTTATCGTCATCCTAGAGGAGCGGCGGTGGAAGAAGAGGAGGGTGGAGAGATCGAGAGGTGTGTGAAAGAGAGGAAGTTGATATCATATCACTTCTCACTCAGTTTGAGTTACTGTGTTGGCAAGTGTGATGTGTGTCTCTGTTCGTCACCTCCTCCATTCTCCTGTCTGTGCCAACGGCCAGCAGACTGTTGTATTCACGCTCAAGAGTTGCTCTGGCCTGGAAAAGAGAGAAGAGAGGAGGAAAAGCACAGACTCTTACTGAATTCAAAGCACCAATTTAACTCTAAATGAATCCTAGAGACTAGGCTCTTGTCATGAGATGACAGCAGCATCCCTCCTATGGCCCCATCAGCCAACTGTACGTCACACAACTTAGCTTCAAAAGGTAACACTAATCGACCTACACTGGAATCTCAAATGACATCCTGTCTTACCCGGCGAGGCTGGCACCACGTCGTCTTCCTGAGATCTATTCTGATTTAACTGGAATCGATTTGTGTCCATCACTTATTTCTGTCTTCAGTAATTGCTTGAATATCTGACTCTTCCAAGAGTACCTACTTACCTAACCAGCGTTGGGAGTTACGTGTTACAAAAGTACGCATTATAATGCATCACTAATAAAATTTTGGTAATATTATACCCGTTAAAATCTCATTAACGTGCGTTACAACACATTGTGACCCGAAGTTTTTTTAATTTACCAACACCACAAAGTGTTGAGTAAAAACGTTATTTCCTGATGCTGGAATTCAATGGTTGAGATTGTAGGCAGGGTGCAAACTACGGGGGAGCCAGGTGAGCAAGGCTCCTCTTAATAAGAAGGTAGCTTCGTAGCTCCCCTGAAAACGTGATTTGTGAAACTCTGGGGGGGGTTAAATAGTGATAATATGGATCATGCATAAATAAATGTGTTTTCTTTCCTTACATGATTAGAGAGGCTGCTGTGCATCCTGACCGATCCTGTCGGCGCATCAGGAGATAAATAAATAAGCGATGAAATGATGCTGCCACATGTTGGATCTTTCTTAATGTGGAGACGATTCATCATCTTTCACCCATCCACAACCCACATGCTATTAATCAGAAAGTTCTGTTTTATGACAAAGACCGACCCAAACCACGAATATAACTGCGGCCTGCACATCACTAGAACCCACATATGCAGCACACATCTAACCATCTGAATAATGTGCCCATTAAATAGCAGGGAAAGTAATTTAAAAGTAACACAAAACTAGTGTCAACAACTCAGAGACAGTAACACTGTAATATAACTAATTACTCTTACATGACAGTAACACTGTAATATAACTAATTACTCTTACATGACAGTAACACTGTAATATAACTAATTACTCTTACATGAGTAACAGTAACACTGCACCGAACACATCTCTAGGCACTTATGCCTTGCTGCATGCACCTACAACCTTCAGGCACTTATGTCAAGGGGAATTTGAAACCGAGCTTTGTGGCACCTAATCTGGATAGCTTCTCCTTCATTACTAGTCCCTAACGGTCTGTCTGCTGTTTGATGCTGGGCAGGTAGCACAAAGAAGGTTTATCAAAGCTTTTTTCACGGAAAACAAAAATCGAGGTTGATGACAGAGAAACCAAGACAATGAGCTAAAAGAAGCCTAAAAGCTCAGTAGAGATGAGGGGAACTGAAGTTATCCTTTCACATTACACAGCAATTCCATCCATTGTTTATATAAAAATATTGATTAGTGCAGCTTTAATGTAAAAAGAAATGTAAATAGTGTAGTTAGTAACAGAACAAGTGGATCAGAATATATAATTGGTCTCTAACATTACAGACAAGGGAGCGTTTAGTCCATTTACATGTTGCATGGATGTACAGATATGACCTTTCTGCTGGTCCCTCACAGCATGTTAAAACTAGGGATGCACCGAATGTTACCATGTGGCAACCAAAATTAATCGGCCGAAAATAGCACAAAAAACGCTTTCGGTGTTCGGCATAACAAGTCAAACCAGACCGAATAAATTTTACCGAACAATTACGTTGACATGTCGGCTGTGTGGAAGCATTTCAAAGTGTCTGAGAAAGACGTCCAAAAATCGCCGTTTGAAAACTCTGTTCTGTGGCTGACTTCTTAGAAAAGGCAACAAACGGTCTGACCCGTTTTGAGTGTTTGTCACTCATCTGTGAGAAGGAGATTAAGCTAGCCGCGCCTACGTATTCCAGACTTTACGGTAAGTGAAGCGGCCCAGAGCGAGCTGACAGGCAGGTTAGAGACTTTATCTATGTTTACGTCAGTTTGGCTCTTTAGTGTGAAGAGAGGCTGTGAAGACGAGAACCACATACAACATTATTTATCAAGCCGGGTCGGACTGGATGGATTTAGCGCGAGGAGGAAACACATGTGACAACGTCCGGTTTTCAAAATATGGCGTCTGTACAGGATGGAAATAAGATTAATTGGATTATATTCACAGAAAGTATAAAACAAATTACATGTGTCCATTAAAAGTAAACGGACTCATGTAATTTACTTCATAGTCTCTGCAAATCCTGCCGGAAACACTGAGGAGAAAGCTCATTCTGACCATTTCATTTATGGACAAAATTGGCAAAATAAATGGAAAACCTGTGAAGACCTGTGTACTGTATTCGGGAAAGTTTTTCCATTATGTTCACTTTCAGCTTCGGTCAACAATTTTCAGTTCGGTGTGGCATCCCAAATTAAAGCCTATAGTCTTTAAGTTGGTGAAGCAGCTGTGTGTACCTGTGTGTTCTGCGTGGGGATCTGCAGCAGTAGGGCCAGGGTATTGTGATCAAACGTTTCGTCGAGGGCGAGCAGCGCTCCATGGACCCCGCTTTCATAAAGGTTGCCACTGTACTCTTTCAGCCCGATGGCCTGAATCCAGCTGATCACACGCTCGTTACTCCACACCAGCACTTCTGAAATGCCACAGTCAACAGTGACAGAGATCCAGCCTGAGTGTATTATAGCGTCATTTAAAGTGGGTGAATGTGTATTGGTGAATCTCTGGAATTTAGTTGGACTCATAAATCAGGAGGGTGTTTGTTACCTTTATTCTCGTACTGAGACTCTTCCCTTCTCCTCTCCAGCTCCTTCCTGTCATAGTTGAGCCTCCTCAGACTCATAACGCCACACTGGAAACTGTTCCTATTGTACAGACACAAAGACAGTGGTTTATTTGGATCCCCTTGTTGTCACCTTAGCAAAGTCTACTCTTGTACCATTGATGTAAATTCCGTGTTTCGCATTAGGACTCGCCAGTGCAGCAGCATTTGTGTTTAACAGTGTTGTTCAGACAACAATGGAGGTCTATAGCTTTGGATACATAGACAATACTATGTGGGGAACATTCGTTGTTGATTTTGGTCTCTTCAGGGAGTTCATTGGGAATAATAGAAGATAAAATAAAAAACACCAGTGTTATCCGTTAATTGTTGTGCTTTACCTGTGGAAGCTATCCACCATTTTGAGCTGTCCCCTAAGGTCCTTCTTGGTGAGGTGGTCAAGCATGCGGGCGTCCACCAGGGACTCCATGAAGTAGGAACGGTACTGCGGTAAACCCAGGCTGGGCAGCCACTCATTACCAATCCACTCGTGGTTCATGTCTCCATACGCCAGTGTCTGAGGTCAGAGAAGAGATGGCTTAGCAAGTATCTGTGAGAGGGTGTTATTTATGAGAAACTACTCAACTTACTACTCAAGGATACTGAAAATTATATTTTATATATTTTGATTCACACCCGTCATCTTTCTTACAAGAGCTTACGCCGTTTGTTTAGTCATAAATACAGTTAACTTTCTCTGTATGACAATAAATTCATCATGGCTTGTAAAAATCCAACTTCAGCTGATACATTGCATAGATTATTCAAATAAGTCCATATTTAGACAGTTCTAGCATAAACGGTTATTTTAATGTCATGTGTTATGTTAATATACACAATTACAGTAAATATAAAGTATTCTGTCTGCTACAAATGCTTCATTAGAAAACTCAATGTATAATGAATCATTTTCAAGTACACAAACTACAGAGAAAACATTCCTTAATTTACTTTTATGTGTTTTCTGTATTTTGTGGAATTAATAACAATATTGTTTTCATCCAGAATTATTTAGAATGCTTAATAAAAACTTTGACTGGAAGTACATGACCACTAAGAAGGTTTGATAAGTGGAGCTGTGGTATAAATCTAAACGCCGCAGGTAGATTAGACACGACTGAATCAAATACCATGTCATGCTGAAGGTAGACTAACGCTATCTGGGTTGGGTTTTTTTTTTTTTACACAGGAAACCCGACTTGCTGCACTGTTAGTGACAAAACCCTGTGATGACAAACCAGTCAACCACAGGTTTCCTTCTGATACCCCTGCACTTCAGCTACACAACCACTAGATGAAACCACTGAGCTCCTCCTACAAGTTCAAGCAGCAATGAGAATTGTTCCTTGTTGAGAACGGTTCACCAAAATACTATATTATATCGAATAAAAAGCAAAGAAAACAATCTGGGCTTAAAATGTTCTGTTTTCTGAAGTTACAGCACCTCACAGCCTCTTTTCTTGTTTCTGATTTAGCCTCTGGCCACCTGCAGATAGTATGGAGCAGAGGACTTTCTGCCTGCCACTTTTAAGATCTCCCTTTAAAGTACGTGGTATTACCCGGGTTAGAAGGGGAAAATCCTTAAAAAGTTAGGATTTATTCATTTTATTTTACATTGAATTTTCTTAGGGTTGCGCTATAATGGAAAGGCAGGACTCGTGTCATTATGTATGCATTATTAACCTTTCGTTCCTATACTTCCGGTGCCCTTAAAATCATAAAACCTCATGTTCTGGGCTTGTTATCTGCAGTTGGTTTGGACTATGTTATAACTACTAACAAACACCACCACCGGGGTATTTAGTAGGGCTGAACAATATTATCTCTATGTGATAAAACGAGATTTTCTAATCGCACAGGCTGCGATTACACTCACATGACACATGACACCCAAGAGGAAAGCGGTCTGCAGACGATGCACCAACGTAATAATATACTGTGGTGTACAAATGTAAGGGGTAAAACTGCACAATTTGAATGGATCACTCCAAACATGCTTGTTGTAAATTAGTGAAAAGTGACCTGGAATTAAATACAGAGGGAAAACTGATATACTTCAAAAGAACAAACAACGACTAAAAGATGGTGTTAAGAACAGTAAAAATTTGGAAGGTTTTAGGGGATTGTGTGCAAACCTGGGCCCAGCTACCCTCGTCATCCTCCTGGTGTTAGCATGGTTAGAGTGAGCATGGTGAGAAGAACAGAAAGGCGAGGGGTTAGTGAGGCAGCAGTGCTGGGTTAGAGCAGCTTAATGTGGAAAATATCATTCAAGCCAGACAAAGTAAAATAACAACAAGCAAGATAAATTCATGTTAAGGGATCAAAGAGGAAATAATAATGGTGAAAACTGTGGGAGTGGGCAAAATGGATAAAATCCATCTATTACTGTTATGTAATTTTATTTTTCAATATATCTTGTACTTCACAAAACAAAATTGACAATCGATTTAGAAACTGTGTGTTTAAAAAGAGAGGACAAATAAAAGGATTTCAATACATCTATTCTCATGCTCATTGATTTGCCCACAATGGTATAATACACCGAGAGATACTAAAGCAAACTTTAAGGCACAATCTGACAGCAGACTAATGTATACTACATCGTCAAATTGCCCAACCCTAGTACACTGCACTGTTCCAGAAACAGCCATATTTACAGTGACAGTGGAGTACTTCATGCTTATTTTCTCTTGTTCGTCTGCCATTGTTTGATACCTGGCACCACTTGTTCAAAATGTAAAGAGAAATGGCCTTAAACTTAGCAGCAGGTGTCTTATTTTAAAGTAACTATCCAGTACTAACACACATACACACAAAACACTAACTAACGTTAAAGCAGAAACGGACACACACCAACGGGAAGAGACAAGAAAACTACCAATACCAACGAGGAGGAAAGAAAATGACAAACTAGCAGAAAGAAGGCGGCCTTGTTTCAAGTTGCCCAGTGAGACGGCACAAAGTCAGATAAATACTAGATGGATCATCCACATTTAAGTGTGAAATATTAATTTATGCATGCAGTAAGTAAGGTTTAGCTGTCCTGAAGGCAACTTGGAACGAGCCTCAATGGTCACCACTGACGCAAGAAGCCACCAGTGCCCAGCCAATCAGGGTAGACTAACCGTGGGAGGTGTGGCTGCCAAACTTTCCATTTCTTCATGTGTGACCCAAACGTTTCCTGTGGTCTGATCATTTGACACCCCCCCAATCCCCAAGTGAGAGAAGTGTGTAAAGAGGAAAGAGTGATGAAGGACAGAAAGAGAGCGGGATGAAGAGAAGAAAAGTTTGTTCATTACCTTTATCACTGTTAGCAAAAGAATGAAAACCAAAACTACTTTGTTCTGATCATTAGTACATGTTTAGTGTATAGGCAGTTGAAATGTTAATGCAATGCAAGTCGTGCTCAATCAGATGATAAGAATGTGCAGACAGAGAGTTAGAAAGCATCATCAATACTTTGGATGGGCAAAACGCCACCTTCATACAGACTGAGCGCTACATGTGGGAGTGTACACCCTGTAGAGTAGGTGGCTTTTAGTCCACACCCAACAGAAGAAAGTACCGTTCTCGATGTCGGCGGGGCCGAAGGGCTGGTGAGAGACATGATTTCCTGGATGGCCAGGCGCAGTTTCAGACGATGTAACGGGTTGCTGATGCCAATCTCCCTTTGGATCTCCGTGTCTGATAGCGCTGACATAATGGCTCCGCTCTTCACGTTGGCACGGCATGCAGCCACGTACCAGGCTGGCATGCCCACCCACAGCTGACCAGAAGGGGGCAGACGGGAGACAGTGCCATTTGTTAACCTTGATAAATGCTGACAGAAATGTTACTGGTTTGAATGGTGTTTGGTGGCGTACCTCCAGCCAAACCACAACAGTTGGTCCGTCCCACTGGGCGAACGGCAGGCCCTGCCTGCGAGCCTCCTCCAGTAATTCATGCCTGAAACACAAAATATACCATTAAAGCCAATACGTAATACCTACAAAAACCTACACACATACAGCCACACACCCCAAACACAGAGCCCATCTTTGGAAAAGACATGTACACAAACCCCAGACATCAACTGACATGCATACTCCAAACAGAGAGAGCAGGAGTTTGAGAGAAAACAAAGAAACAGAAACCCAGAAAGACTCAAACATGCTCATCTGGAAAAACCTTGAACAAAATCTAATCATTTAAAAAGTATTAAGAAAACACAGGCCTATACAGACCAAAAGTGTTTGTCAAAACCTCCTCAGTCGTTTTCGGGTTTAACCAGATGGGTCTTTTGTTATAAGCCCCTGGGAGTCATAGCCAGGGCTTCGGGATTGAGGTGCTTCATTAGACAGTAGAGTCCACTTAGAAAATGACTTAGGTTTGGATGCGTTCCTCTACAACTGTAAGGTGCGTTACATGCATAGAGGGGAAGTATTTAAGGCAGGAAAGCTGTACATGTCTACATCCATTTCATGCACATTCTCAGTCTGTAATAAAGGAACAATGCCGTTTAGCAGAGAATCCCTGGAGGTTTTTCGGGGATGTTGGAAGGCAGCTTCTGATTCATTTTCTCTGAAAGTTGTTTCAATTCACTAGTGTGGCAGCAAGCCTTTATTGATGCTATCAAATGAAGGAGGCAGTCGTATTTGGCCACTAGATGGGGTTGTGTACCACATTTCACCTTTAAAGAAGCCCATTCTCTCTTTTGACAGATCTGCCATTATAAAAAGATTAACAGATAAATCCAAAAGCCGGTTCTTAACCAACAACTTTAAATAAATTTGTAACAACACTGCAATTGTGCTTTAGTGAATTATGATTTTTTTTTTTATTTACGGCAACTATTTGTCAGATTCTGCCATTAACTTTCTTTCTAATCTTTCCTGTAGTTGTGGTGCATAACTCCATGCTCCAACAGGAAAACCTTTCTCTCACTAAATATCAGCACACACACATTGCTGTTAGTTAAGCTCCAGTGTGGAAAGCAGGGTAAAGAGCAGCATGACATCAAACATTCGGAGGGACAGTTGTTGGAACCTCATTGTTGAGGAACAAGATAAGGCAAAGCAAAAGCAATATGAACCGACTTACCCTGTCTTTGGACTAAACAGAATGAGAAGGGGATGATGAAAAAAAAAAAGAAGAGGGAGGTTGACAAAACAAAGAGAAAGAATGAACGGATGCTAATTTAAGAGCTACATGGACACAAAACAACATTTACGGCGTTTGCAATCTGTTTGACTAAGAATGACAGGGAAAACATAAAATAGGTGTGGGAGATGAGGGCAATGGAAATGACTGGGTGCGGAATGGAAGGGAGATGAGCTGATAGGAGTGAGTGTGAGTCAGGTGGCGGGAAGTGAGCGTCTTAGCCAGCCATGGACTGCAGCAGGAGCACGAAGCCCACGATAACACAAAGGGACTTGTACATTATTAACACTGTGTACCAGTATAGGCATCATGTATGGTAGGGCGGCATCTCTTCACCTTTAAACATGTTTCTCAGCTTACATAAAATGTGGAGACAGCAGAGGATGGGGGGGCGCTGTTAGGAAGACACTTACTTCTTCTGCAGCTTCCTGTTCTTCTCTGCAGGGCCACCCAGGGTGCCCATTCCCAGGCCATCCTTAGGAGAGCTCTCTGCCTCAGGAGTGCCAGCTAGGAACATGAAGAAACACCCTGCTCAGAGATCTGACAGGGCCAGGAACACAGCCATACTGATAGGCTAAACATGTGCTGGAGCGGAATAAAAACCCTGTTCCTAATGTCTGACCTTGGCTGGGGGAGTCCTTGCCGGGAATGCTGGGTCGGCCCTTCTCCTTCTTCCCAAAAAGGCGTCCAATAGAAGACTTGATACTCTTCTTCTTGGCTGCTTTGTTGAGGGAGTCCTGGCTGCTGTTGCTGCTGCTGGGGTTACTACCTTGGCCGTCCTGCAGGCCAGCCAGACTACGGGGCCAAAGGTAAGTGATTAAGAAAGATCAAAGAGGTAAAATGAACATTTCAAAGTTTCTTCAGGTGCAGGTCTTACCCTCGAATATCTCTAATGTCCTCGTGGCTTGCAGCATGCCCTGCATCCCTGTTTAGGCGCATGGAGCGTGGAGTGGTAGGGGGTGACGTCTCACATTGGATAGTGGCCTTGTCATCCTGAGCAGACTGCGTAACAGTGGGAGAGACATAAATTATTGACATGCATCACTCCGGGATTTTACTCCGCACAGACCATGAGGTAAGGAAATGAAGAGCACACCCTTTACTCTGCACACACAGCTGGTAAGTAGAAAGCTGGTTCATTAACTTTACACTATACATTATTTATGCACCACGCAGCTACACTCCAAGAGGTCTGTGACCACTACATACATACTGCATTTCACTAGATAGTAGGGCTGTCCCCGATTAAGGATTTACATAGTCTAATCAAAATCGTCCAGTCCCGCCTACAGTCGACTGTTTTTGTGCGCGGCAATAGCGAGCCGAAGCTAAACCGAGGCTTATTCTCTCTCTCTCTCTCTCTCTCTCTCGCCTGCCATTCACAGGTCTTAACAGAGTTTTACGTCGCGGGTCTATTTCAAGTAGCCGGCTATTTAAAAACAGTAAAATATTCCTTGTGTGGTTCATCAACGGTGATAATAAATTATCCAAAAGACCCGCGAGGTGCGAACAACTCGGCACAACACCGGTGAAGCCGGGGCTCCGTCTCTTCAGCCACTACACACACACACACGCCACACCTACACATGCGCACTGACGCCCCAGGGTTACAATTTTGGATTTATTCACGCACTTTATAAACATGTTTATTTACAGCATTAAACGTTGAAATGTATATTTTAACAGGCTGCACGTTAACTTATCAGGGGGAAACTGGTAGTTTCAGACGTTGAGCACCGCCATATCGCCAAAACGGCATGATCCTTGTTTCGCTGCGAAGCGTCAACTGTGACTGACAAACGAATCAGGCTCCACCCATAGAAGCATCGAATCTTCGAGTATTTGGGGTGAGCCCTACTAGGTAGTAATGCGATTATTCACAATATCGTTCTTTACCTTAGTAATTAGCATTATGTCCTGTTAATATTAAGTTCTGGTACAGAGCTGATTTTGGCTTCTCATCCTGTTTTAGATTTTAGAACTATGTCAAGTCACAGATGCAACAGGTGACAAACTCCAAAACATCAACCTGGTGCCAAAGCAGCAAGGCATACTGCTTCACAATAACAGTTCAACTTGTGTTCCACCTACAGTTCTCTGATTTCCACTTCAGACAATCTCACTTCTTGTGCAAAGAGTAGTTTTGGAAGACTCGCTTGGTATCCCACAACTTTATAATGACTAGTTTAGGGGTGCAAATAGCAATTATTTTCATTATTAATGAAAACTGAAAAATGCACACCACAATTTAAAACACTAACCAATCCAAAACCAGAAAGACTTTTAATTATTAAGATGCAAGACAAAGAAAAGCAAATTTAAAAATCTGCAGCTTGAAAACTTATTTAAATAATTAATTATCAACATTGTTGCAATTAATCTGTTAATCGTTTCAGCCGGAGAATAACAACAGTTCAAGAATGGGGTAAAAAATAAATTTTCACCTTCAAATGTTCATGAATGGGATTTTAAGACTGTATGCATAAGCATCAATTGGTCCCGGATGTATTTTTGCAGGATGGAATAGAGAAACCAAAGTTTAACATTGTGGTTTGCACGTGAGGGGGCTAGAGATGGGAGATGAGGGAGTGAGGATAATAGACAAGTAGCCGACAGAGCCCAGTACAGCTGGTCTCTAGTTTACCTTCCTGCGGTGCTTGCGCAGGTCACTAGGCTGAAGCATGGCAAAAAAGGAGAAAGGAGAAAAGCAGTTAGTCAGACGCAAAACAGACCAGCGTTGGAACCAAGCCACGCACAAACACAAGAGCAGCAAATCACAACAAGATATACATTTACCGATGTATACTGGCACACACACCCCTCACTGAGGAGACCCAGAGTAAAGTGTTACTTTAATAGTGCAGTAAAAACATGCAGTTCTTGGGAAAATAAAAGTCTGCAGGAACACCACTGCACCCAGTCAGGAGACACTGCAAAACAACCCTGCTGAAGGCGGGGTAAGGACGGTAGGATAGGTGCAGCCTAGCTAAAGGAAAATAAAGGAATATTAGAGGATATTAGAGAAGTGCAGACTTTTACACTTTAAGTGGAACCAAACACTTGATGAAATCTATTTGAATAATTGACCAGATAGGTAGACAAGCAGCTGGCAGGTTACTGCTGATTAACATGGGTGTTGAAGTCTCACACAACGCTATGAGCAAGTTAGATTGAAAGTTAACAGGGTGGTTTTGCTTTATGTGGTAGTTTTCACTTAACCAAGGGCAGCACGACACCTGAATTTATGAACCAGAGCTGTTCTAGTCATATTTTCCACTGTGCACCTAAAAAAGGGGGAGGATTTGCCCTCGCTGCATTCCTCACAGGCCTGGCATTAGCAGAGCAAATAAACCATCAGCGTGCCACATATCTATGGGAGTTTCTCTTGCCCCCAGGAGGAAAATACCTAATCACTCATTTCCTTTCCTCAACTGACAAAGTGAGGCCAGGGCAAGGAAGAGATTAGTGAGCTATAAAAGGGAAACAGGAAGAGAAAATTGAGGCGGTGAGCAGAAAATGTATTTAATCACCTAAAATGTTCCTTTTCTTCTAGTGTCTTCTTATTTAGAAATTAGTTTCCCTGATGCTTCATAACAGATGTGAAGGTTTATCATAGCAAGATTAAAAACAGAACTATGTTAAGGCGGACATGGCTGACAAAATAAAAGCAGCAATCCTTCCATGTCTGTAATGTGTTACAGCCCTAGTTTAATAAACTTCATGAACTGTTTAAATCCCTCACTCTCAGCAGAACAGTATGCCAGCTTTTCACTGCAACAGTACTGCAACATTTGAATTAGACAGTAACTGCTCTGCAATCAATCCAATGCACGATGACTTCATTTTCATCAACAACAACAAATAGGACACCTAAACCTCCCAGAAATCTTGCAAGGACTGATCATTTCTTGCAATCGTAAGATCGCAAACTCCTGGAAGGACTGACTGATGAGTAATAAGTAATACAAGCTCCGCTGTTAACAGGAAAACCAACGGCATTACAGTTCCCCCGAACCAAAATTTTGAAACCCAACTGTGTTTAAAGAAGTGCGTCTGCCGTGGAGAGGCTGAAAAGAGTGCAAGCCAAGCCTAGCAGGCGTAACCGGCGTATGAGAAACAAGGCTCTGTAAGCTGAAGTACAATAAATAGCCGTGTTTCCATCAACGTTTTGTTATGCACATTTTGAAGTATCGCGTTAGGATGATAGAAATGGCAAAATCTGAAAAACCTTTATTTTGCAAAAAAGGACCTCTCCATTTTTCTCAGATCAATGGTCTTCAGGTCCACGCAGTGTCTCCCATTAATTAACGAGACCATGGCGGCCCGCCACGGAAATGTTAACATCTCCCCGCTGCTGTAAGCTCGCGCACTCGCACACTTTGGCATCTGACTCTTGACAGCCACTTTACTTTTAAGGTAACTACGGTAAATCTTGTGCATTTTACTTTAAAATGCACGAGATTTTCCCCCGAGAGGGTCCAAGGCCCACCCACCTTAATTCTGTGGGAAACACTGCCACGAGCTGGTTCTGTTTCTGGTTTGCAACACATCCTCCTTATTTATTACAGTAATGTAACGTCAATTACTGACGTAAATACACTCGCTGTAGTCTGGTTTATTCTCTCCAAACCAGCTGATGAGAACGCACCTAGATCGCATTTTCTTTTTTGCAACATTAAAAAAGTAAAAGTAAAATTAGCTTGACAATTAGTTGGGTGGCTAATGTTGTAAATACAGCACAGTGACTGTCCAGTAACCCCTATGAGACACAAAAGCACTGGCAGCCTGTTGCACAGACCTGTGGCCAAAACCAAAGCGATTCACAAAGAAAGGCAGTCCTGTGTGCAGACGGGAGGACCAGAGGTACACCGGTGAGCGGGTGTGTACTCTCTAGTTTCTAAACCAAAACAACAATGCTTTTGTTCTGCTAGTATTATCCATAAAAGGGAATTCTGGTCCCCAGTTGAAAGGTGTGGCCCTTTCAACTCATTGTCCAAATACTCACATGTATGGAGAATATTGACACAAGACCTGTAGTTTTGTTCATGGGGTATTACTCCACTCTCACACAGAGCTCAAATTAATTTATTGTCACAGTATTCTTAAAGCAAAGTGATGCGTTTAGCACGCATCGGGGGAAAAATGTTTATCAGCTTCCTTTGTGTTTTATGAGATGTAAACTGATGAAACAGAACAGAGAGGAAGAGGCACCCATCTGGGGAGAAAAGGAAGGGAGCTGTGGAGAGTTCCACTGGTACCTGAAAGTATGGTGCATAGCTATAGGCTTGAGGGGGAGGACTGAAGCCAGTTGCACCATAGGGCAGGTAAGTTACGGTCTGCTGGGAGAGGGAGCTCTGGATGATGTAGGGGTCATAGCAATATTGCTATGGGTAGGGGGCAGTTACATGTACACACGGTTACATACTCTCACACATACACAGAAAATATTAGTGCACTAATCACACTGGCGAGAGGAGACAGCATAAATACACAACATCAACATGGAAAGGCAAACAGTGTTAAAGCACTTTTGGAGGAACTAGACTCTTGGACCAAAACTACAGAAAGACAACAAACCAAAAGACCAACATAAAAATTAGTATGAAGGAAACTGTAATTCTGACTTATTCGACTTATGAGTTAATACTAGTGAATTAAATATGCTATTCACTGCAGATGCATGAGCCTGGTCGGGAAACATATCAAAGTAAAGGAAGGGTTACCAAGGTCATGACACCCATGCGGTCCAGTTCTCTGTTGGGGCTACGGGGAATGCGTCTGGGGGTGGAGTGGCCAGAGCCTGGGGGTGAGCCGCCCAACGAAGAGCCCGCACACAGTGACGGAGGGATGGAGCCCATTGAGCGGAAACGTCCTCCTAGGCTATCGCCGCTGCCCACCCGGCACTCAATCTCCTCTGCCCGGATGGCGGTGCTCTCCTTCTCCTCTTGGATCATTCTGTCACAATAAAGGAAGCAGAAGGAGAAAATGAAGTTAAATTTACACACTACTGAATGACATTTTGAAAAAGATAGAAGTGACAAGAGGCCAGGTTTTGGGATGCCTGTCATGGTAGCTCTGTAGCTGCTGGTACCTAATTTCATTATTGATGGCGTCCAGCTGCTCCTGCAGCATTAAAGCGAGGGTCTGTGCGTCAGCCTGGCCACCAGGGGACAGCAGGTCCACCGAGCTGAAGATCGTCTCTCGATCCTCCTCCAGGTCTGAAGCATCCATGTCGCTCTCAAACGCCTGGGCCACATTTGCCAGAACGTTGGCCTGCTGCATGCGCTCCCACTCCTGCTCATTCAAAGTCTGCACCTGGATTCATCCATACAGGTACACAACGGGATGGAGAGATCAAGATAACAAGTATTCAAAGAGAAGTTGAAAGCGGAAAAGGATATCGTAGGGAGAAGGGATAAGAGACAGTTAGCAGGATCCTTGAGTATTTGCCATTAATGCAGCACACAGACAACTGTCACCGTTCTCTCCACCACACTGACTTACATGTCGCTGATGTCCAGAGTGGAAGCAAACAGAAAGAAATGGAGAAGAAGATCAAAATCAGCAGAAAGAACTTAAACAGGTAGAGGAAGGAAAAAGGCACGATACAAATAACATGTGTTACGAAGAAGACCAAACCAAATGACCCTTCTAGTAAATTCAATCATTTCAGAAGGGGGAGAGACCACATGAAAACCTGCCAACCTCCTGGTCAGAAGTGCCAAACCTGGACACGTGATTCCACAAGTTCTAACGTTCTCATTTGATTAGAAAATTAGCTATTCTGTGTTTATGCTCCATGAACTCAAATTTTATATATAGTATGTGAGCCGACAGCAGATGTGCCGGGAGCTCTCACCTTCGATGGCTCGTCCCGTAGTGCCGCCATCCGTCCTTTTTGAGGCCGTCTCAGCACAAGAGCGCTGCCATAATGGTCTGAGTTACTGTCCATCATTGAGGAAGCAGACACTGGATACCTGAAGTCCGGAGTGCTGCCCATCTGAGACCGTCTGGAAAAACACATTTTTAAAAAACAATCAGAAAGACTCTGAGAGGTTAGAGGCTGAATCTGTGAACTCTTCCAGTGAACTGACTCACCCATGTAGTAAGGAGTTACTCCTGCTCCTACCCTGCTCGCTCTCTGCCCTCATAGTCTCAATCTGGATCAGGAGCTGCTCCTATAAGAGAGGACATTTACAGACATAGCAATCATTTGGTGTAGATACAGTCGCCTTAAGGAAAAAGTTACCATTTATAGAACACAGATACAAGGGGCTGTGGCTCAGGAGGTGGAGCAGGTTGCCCGTTAATCGGAAGGTCGGCGGTTCAATCCCCGGCTCCTCCAGGCTGCATGTCGAAGTGTCCTTGGGCAAGATACTGAACCCCAAATTGCCCCTGGTGGCTGTTCCACCAGTGTGAATGTTAGTTTCTGTTTGAGCACTTAGGCTCAGTGATTGAATGTGTGTGTAAAAGCGCTTTGAGTGGTCAAAAAGACGGCGCTATACAAATACGGAGCATTTACAAGGGGAAGAATCAGCTTATACTTTAAATGATCTCTCACCTTCTCATGGTGAGACTCCTCAATCAGCTTCTTGGTGTGCTCCAGTTCTCTTATCAGGGCATTCTGGAAAGAGACGGAATAAGCTCATAGCAAATAACCGGTGACTGAGCTGAGAACCATGCACCATGACATGTGATGTCATTACCAACGGGACACACAGTGGAGAAACAACAAATCTTATGGCAAAGACTACTTCAGCTTGTCTGCCTCTTGACTAGTCTCAGAGACTTTATGTAATATTCACCTTGTCCTCCAAGGCAGACATCCTCTCTTTGAGGTGAAGCTGGAGTCTCTCGTTGGACTCTGAAAGGAGCTTGTCCACTGTCTCAGACAGACGCTTGTTGTGCTCCTCGTTCATCTTCTCTCGCTGCCGTGCCTATACAAAAAAAAGGCACACGTTAAGACTGTCTTAAAAGGCAGTAAAACTGCAAGGAGTAGGCCTAATGTAGAGACAGCTGATCTCTCACCCTGAGCAGTTCCTGGTTCTTCTCCTCCAGCTGGGCCTCCAGCTGCCTCAGTCTCTCCTCCACATTGCCATGGCGTTCCTCTGCCTAAAAATGGGGGACAATACTTTTTTTTAAGCTTTTCTGTACAAAGATATCCAAGCCTCAGTATATTCAATCCTCTCAGAGCTAATGAGAAGTGCTAGACTTTGATCTCCCCCTGGAGTTTGTCATCCATCCTGGAGAAGGACACAGGTTTTGGCTGGAAAGCCCAAGTCCTTCAAAAGGATGGGATCACCAACATCAAAAGCCTGGGAAGCAAGCATCTACCAACTTACAGCCAGAGTTCGAGAATCATGCACCAGCTGCATCAGGAGAGGACAGCAAAACAGCACAACCCAAAGAAAAAGTAAAACACATTGAGCAGCAAATACTTCCCAGTTCTACCGGCTTGTTTATGCCATTACTGACTCATGAAACAACAGTTAATTCAGTATTTCATCTACAATTACACAAATATAACCAGTGTATAACTGATATTCTCAGTCTTAATTATGTAAGCGCCAATAGGATGGTAAACATGTTTCTGTGACACAGCCTGTTCCAGTGTTTTGTGGCTCTAAAGGGCAGGGTCCCCACAAGTCTTTGAGCCCAAATCAACTGGCACTTCCTGTTTGTGTTAGACACCAAACTAGGATGGTCTTTCATGAAGTTCTGATCAACGCAGCTCACTAGCACATGAAGCACAAACACACAGGCGTACAGAGAAGGCCATGTCAGGGTCTAGGTTTCAGGCGCAATACGACACAACAGCATTTTTAGATATAGTCTGACACTGAACTTAACCAGGCACTAAAATTGAAATTAGGTGATTTTAAATCATGCACAAATTTTTCTTTTCTTCTGTAGTTCTGGAACTGTAAATACTGCCATTCGTTTCTATGAACCTGGTTAAGTTTTCCAGTATCCAGGAGGTTATCCAGAGTTTAGCTCTGTGAGTGAAGCTGGTCTACCTTCTTCTGAGTCTGAGCGCCTTTCGAGTCACACAGAGCACACTAGGGGTTTGACAAGGAGGTGGTTACGGGCAGCATGAAGAGCACACAAGAACAGAGCATGACAGAAAGAAAGAACGAAATGACAAAGAGGGTACACTTTTAATGTGAACTTGAGCACAATTACAAAGAGTGGCTGGAGGAAGAAAATGGACAGATGCTGTAGATTCAGCAAGACAGAACAGGTAGACAGACAGACGACATATTGTATTAGTAGGGCTGTGCGATGTGACGAAAATCCCATATCACAATACAGTTCTGTTCATATCCAAATAACAATACATATCCTGAAATAGTTACATACAATGTTTTGCTAATTCAATGAAATACCATCGGTCCTCAGGATATTTATCTGCTTCATAAAAGGTGGGCAATGTGATTTTGGAGAAATCCAACACCAGGACAAATACCATGATATAGAGTGAACAACGACACAGCAAGTAATGTAACTAATGTTAGCTAGGTTGTGGGTTAGCAATCTGTCGCTACTTGTTGATGCAAAGCTAACGTGAAGGGATACGGCCCCAGAACCAGCGCGGCAGCTCCAGACAGCGATGCTCACAACTCTCCTGCTGCTATAGCTAACATCACAACAAAAGGAAGAAAGGAAGCTGAATGTCTGTGGGAAACGTTACCTGACACACAAATCGTGACTGAAACTGCCGGATAGTGTTGTGTGGCTCGTCCATTCAACAGATTTCGCTCTGAGATATGAGCTCCTTGTTTTTGCTTGCATGGTCTGATTCCTGCTGTTCAGCATTACCCATTTCTGAGTAAGCTTCACTCTCCTCCATGTTTGATTATTCTGAATGCACATTTCTTCCCTGCAACACTGGCAAGTGTGGAAGAATGTACCGAGGTGAAGTCAGTTTTAAGTGGGATATAAGTTGTGAGTGTTACAGCCCTATGTGTTAGAGCAGGAATAATACCACTTGGATGTTATATTAGACTGCAGAAGAGAGACTGAGAAGACTGAAAAGAATGGATGATTTACGTTGATGTCCTGAAACTGCACGGAGGCAATATTAAACATACAGAGGCATTTCTTTCCATTTCCACCCATGTCTGTCTAACTGCCATGTTCTATAGAGCAACTATACGGCTTAAGCTCTAACCAAAGAGGAAATGAGTCACAATCATTAAAAATGCATGGAGGAAGTTGTTTAGATGGGATACGAGACTGAGTGGGAAAGTATTAATTAGTATGGAATGTCTGTAACGTAGCATAGGCACAGTATAATCATGACTTTGGGATCGCCAGGACCACTGCATGCTCAGTTAGTTGAGTTGCATATTGTTTATAGTTTGTTATATTTTGTAAAAGAAAAGAAAGGAGAGGGGAAACTGCAAAATGGACAGAGAAGAGGCGTCTGCTTCCTGATAGACTCATGATGACTCAGATGAGAATAAAACTTAAATTTCAGAGATGCACTGCGAGCCAGTTCCAATACTAATAAGGTGCTAAATTGCCCGCGCAGGTTTAGCAGCAGCATGTGTTGTCCAGGACAAAGAGTCAAACTATAAATGGACAAAAACATGAGCCAAATCTCTAAAAATAGGTCCCTGTGGACATTTGGAGTAACATAAACAATGGCTTCCTCAGCAGCTTCCGCAGGCAGCTCCTGGTTGTTACAATGTAAAGAAACTAATCTAACAGTCCTTACGTTATGTTGCCTGGCACTCACTGTATGTCAAGGTTGGGGTTCACAGTTAGGAGTAGCAATATTTTGTTAATTCATATTCCTTTAACTTTTAAGGTTCTGGATTTACAAAGCCTTCTGATTAATAAGTAACATTTGAATATATTAAAGTATTGCATTAAATCCCAAATAAAAAAGGTGGGTTAAGAGGTGCACGGGGCAGTGGACAGGTGCTGGTACCTTTGTGAGGGCAGCTACCCTCTGGGCTAGCTCAGCTTCCACCTCAGGCAGAGTCTCTGCCTTGCGAATGATCTGCTGCAGCTTCTGCTCAGCCAGCTCCAGCTTCTCTTGGAGTTGCCGGTTTCTGTCCTCAGTCTACAACAAACAAACCAAAAGCAAACAGTCATTAGCAAGCTTGCTGAAGACTCGCCTGGGCTACATCCTGGCCTCAGGGTTTGCTTTCAGTTCCACAAGGTGAAGACAGTGGCAAGAAATAAGACTGTAGGACAGGGGAAGAAAGAGGGGGAGACAAAGGGAGACCGGGGGTAGGGATGGGTAATGGTGGGGTGGGCAGGAAGTGCGGAAGAGAGCATTCATAATGACACAAAGACAGACAAAACCCATAAGAAAAGAGGAGAGAGACATCTCCATCTCAGTGAGTACGTGTAAAGAAACAAGCTAGTGTCTTTGAGGCCTCCCATTTAGTGCCTGCTGCGCTGGTCAGTGTGTGAATACAACAGGAATTCATTAGCAGGGGTTTGAAAACTGCCAAGGAGAATTGCAGACGATTTCTGCTGGCTGACAACTCTGAGACTCAAACTCCAAAATCAACACGTGTCTTATATACTCAAAGTCCAATTACAATGTGCAAATGTGTATAGATGTCACTTTAATGAAGAACACACTGTATGTCTAAAATGACCTGTATAATAGTTACATAACAGAACGGATATCCCTTAGAGGGAGAGTTCTTGCCAGGTTCAAGCTGTACGATTGGATTAGGGGAAGACTTGTACAGCTTGAACTTTCTTTTCTTACTCCCCTCGAGTTAACACGGCCAATGAGGTATGTGAGATTATTTCTATGTTTTTACATGATGCTTATATTTATTGGATAGGCTAGCTACAGCTAATATACCTGCCGAGTTCACGTGAAAGCAACGTGATAGCCTACCTACGTTTTAGTAAATGTCTAGCAAGCTAATTATCTGCACGTCTAACAGCTTATGCCCTTAGAAGTACTGGATTTTGTAAGCTATATTTTGGATTTGTGAGGTATTTGTTTTAATGGTTATCCTTTAGGAAAATGCTCTACACTGTATAAGACTCTTTAATATTTATTTATTTATCCATCTAGTTCTAGCTGCATGCTTGACGACATGGACGTGCAAATGTGCTGGTGATTTAAACTGGAGGGAAGCAACAAAATAGCTGACCCTAAATGACACAGCAAGCTTGGTCTTTAAGAATCCACGCACACATCGATGCAGGCTTCAGTAATTCCTAATCATAGAAGCACGGGGCCTACTTGTCTGAAGAGGGACTCCTTGTTGGCCACTTCATTCTCCAACTTGTCGTTAAGGTCATGGACGGAGGTAGCCTCCCGCTGAGCTGCCAGGTAGCGCTTCTCCAGGGTGGTGATCCTCTCCTCCATGTCTTCCTTCTGCGCCATGGACTACAGACACACAAACATTTGCGTTAGTGTCTTCAGTCTTTGTGGCCTTGAACCGGACCCAACGTCCTCTGATCCTTGCATCTTCAGATGGAAGTGAGGGGAGTTTAGCAGAGGAGAATTAAACTCTACAAGATATGACGTGGGTAATAGTGTAAGCTTTGTACTGCAGTATACATATACAACATTATACACAGCACAATATGCATTTAAGTACTGTGCCGTTATTGGCTAAACAAGAATGCCTCGACCATAAACTCCATTATGTGTGAAATGCTCATGTTTTTATTTAATCCTCTCCATCCACTGTGTGACATAATACCTACATATCTTCTTGTGTTTTATATTAGGGAGGGCAGAAACCATAATATATACTTTTACATACTTTTTTTTTTAGCTGACGCTTTTACCCAAAGCAACTTACAATTGCTATACATGTCAGAGGTCGCACACCTCTGGAGCAATTAGGGGTTAAGTGTCTTGCTCAGGGACACAATGGTGGAGGGGTCACAGTGGGGGATTAAACCCGGCTCTCTCACACCAAAGGCACAGTCTTATCCATTGCGCCATCACCACCCGTATATGTATGTTACACATTTGCAATGCATTATTTCAATCCGATTTCATGAATTCAAGATTTATCTTTGCAATATACTTGTTCATCATTTCACCTTAATGCCAACAGTATCTCACTGGCAAATCTGTATAAGCAATAAACAAAACGAAAAACTGATTTACACGTCTGAATTTTCAATGCAAAAGAAAAAGGAAAATACATTTAAAGGAATGTATATATTCTCCTCATCTAAGGATTTCAAATAGACCGTCCCGCCTACCTCTCTCAGGTCTCTCTGTAGCCGCGTGTTCACGTCTTCGGACTTGATGAGGTCCTTTCGGGCCGTGTCCAGGTCCTCTTCCAGTTCACTGATGCGTGAAACCATAGCAGCCATGCGCTCCTTCATTTGGCCCAGATCAGCTGTCTGACGGTCCACCACGTCCTGGAGCTCACCGACCTTCCTGATCACAGGTCCTGACTCCTCCTCCTGACTCAGCGAACCATCCGAAGACCGCTGTGGGTGAATTAACGCAACTGTTTTAGGGACTCATCTTAACCACCACATGGATGTTCATCCGCCCAACACACACTGGTTGTTGATTTTGTGTCGTTTATGCGTGCACTCTGATCAAGGCATATTCATAACAAGACAAAACATCTTGACAAATTACTGTTTACCTGTTTGCTATGTTGTCATTTTACATTTAGATCAAGCCTGTTATGCACATAATGATCATGAATTTGAATTGCTCACAATCACTGTATACCTGCTGTTCTTTAGGCCGAGTAATAAAGCAGACTCCAACAGATACAATAATTATAAAGAATACATTAAAGACATAAACGTTGCTACGAAATGATTTTAAGACTACAAAAGCATGTTAGACGTGGTCATCCTAACATTATAGTATAGTATTTTACGCATCTCTTGCTGGACTTACTTGCCGATACGTTCGTACCCACCTTTAGACTGAGGTGTGTTGTTTGTCTGTGTATGTATGCTGTTTTGTACGCAAAGTTGCACTGTGCACTATTGATGTTAGGGTTTATATTATTTTAAGACATACTGCAGAACAAGCTGTTGGCAGTAACCTGGACCGTTCCCAGCCTGCCCACCTCTTCCAGTATTTGCATCTTGTCAGAACATGTATGTACATACATTGCATGCCAGGAAAGTAATGTTTAATTTCTCTTAATACATGGAAGAACGGAAGGAAAATGAATGATCACAGATACATGCATTATTAACCTGTAGAGTTTAGGCTTATTTGTTTAAACAATTTGTAAATTGTATTTTCATCAGAATTGGGGTATTGCATCTACTGTAGATCTTTATGACAGAATATGTTAACCATTCTGTAACTTTAAAGACTTGCACCTGCACCTTAAACATGTTCATATAACAATTTATTAACAAATCATATATATAATTAAAATTGTTTAGATTTAATTTCATTTACTGAACAAGATGCTGGACACACACAAGCTACTGTAGCCTTGTCTCCCGCTTGGCTTTCACAAAATGCCAGTCCACATATGCTGCCGAGTCCGCTCACCTTGCCATTAGTGCTTGGTGTGTTTTCAGAGTTGTGGTTGACCTCGCTGGTTCCATCTGCCAGCCCTCTCTTCTGGCTGTTCTGCTCCCTGAGGTAAGCCAACTAGAAAAAAAACACCACTTTGTAAACACCTTTTGGAGTCATTCGTTTGCTGGTGATAACCAGCTACACAATTATCAAGTTAACCACTTTCCCAAAGATAAAACTAGTTTGCTTCCTTTTATCATTTGTGATGTTATTTTTTCCATTTCACTAATGCGAGTACTGTGTGTACATCGGACAGAGACACAAAGAAGCATAGCTTACGGCTCAAAACACATAGTGGCCAGAGTCCTGAGTTCAAAACACAACTATTCTGGTTGCAAACTCATAAATACACTGCACATATACAAATATACTAAATATGCCAAATGGTCTTACAGCAGGAAGACAAAACAGCAAAAAGCTGCCTTGCCTTAGGAAGTAAGCTTACCAATAAAAGCAGAGAGTGGCAAGTGGTTGATTTTGTGTGTGCATGTGTGGTCCCAGGCTGATTCCCAGGAACAAAAGATGGCTGTAGCATGAAGAGCTATAGCATGAAGCAGAGAGGAAATCTAGGACACTTCCCCGGGATCCTCTGGGCTTTTTGTCAATCTTAATCCCATTCAATACACAGTGAACTTAAGACTCTTCCTCCATTTGCATACATGTGGACATGGGTGTACTTAAGAGCCCTGAATCAGTTTATCTTCCATGTGAATCCTCAAGTACGTAAACTGACTGCAATAAAATACAATTCAGTGCCATCTGAAGCAATGCTAAGCAATGTTAATATTTTAAAGGGCCTATTTCCTTGCCAGCATCACCTGGTGTGAAAACTCTCAATCTCATAAAAGATAAAGTCATAGCAACACTTGCAGCCAGATGTCAAAACTTCTTTCCGTTCAGTTTGTTACAGCAAAGCAGGAAGCTTCACGTCAGGGAACTGAGGCGAACGCGGAAGTCACTTAAACCTGAATTGGCCAGCAGGAGGCGACTCTTCTGGTTGCAAAAAGAAGTCCGGCTCCATTAGAAACTATGGTAAAATGTTGCTACTTCTCAGCTGATTTATTCCCTCAGTTTCCTAATGAGTTTATGGTCTCAGTCACTAATTTCAAGTCTTCTTTACACAGCGTGATGTTCATTTAGTAAATTATGGTCCCATTTAGAGGAACAGAGACCAGGAAGCAGGGGAGGCTTTAGGGCGGGATCAGGCTAGAGTGACTCGTATCCACGGCACTGTGTAAATTTAATCAGCGCCGTTGAAAAAGCTTATTAAATGTCGGCTGTTCACTTTCTCTGGTGAGTACATTTAGTTTTAAGCCTGTTGTTCGCTAGTCAAAATTATCAGCCCTGTTAGAATTACAGTTAACGTGAATTACAGATGCACCTAGCTTGGCTAGCTAGCTAGCTCCACACACGGCCGTTAGCCCTACCATCTCATCCAAATATGGTCACGTCTGGTGCCGCTGGTTGAAAAACTCAACATGGCGGCGCCCTATCGGCCAAAATCGAACTTCAAAATGGCAGTCCACAAACCAGCGGGTGATGTCACGATGACTTCGTCCACTTCTTTTAAACGTCTTGTGTGCGATCAGTTATGGCAACTGCATTTCATCATGTTGTGATAACTAACCTTCACTTAAGATTTCGCCGGCGATCAACAGCCTAAATAAACTTCTTCAATCAGAATCAGGTACACTTTTACATACGAGGAATTTGCCTTGGTATAAATTGGTGCTTACAGTACATATATATAAAAAGTAAGGAGATCAAAAAATGCACAGAATAAAATCACCGCATTTGGAACATTTGACTTGTAGTTTTAAATATGAAAACTATCAATAAAACCCATCAAAAAGAATTTAAGGATGGGGCAACTAGGTCCTACTGTGTAGGGCTTCCCAATAAAACACAAATAGTGCTCAAGTAACAGCACTTACTTCGGCAAGAGAGCAGTGACACACAATGGTGAGAACCTTCTGTTTGTAAACGAACTGGCAATGTTGGGTTAGGTGTTTACGTGGTTAAGCCTAGATGCATCACTCACAAGGTGAAAACAAATTAAGCATGATTGATGATTAAGATGATTACACACTGATTACTTTAGGCTGTCAAGTTGTTACAGCAAATATCCCTTCATCGCCTGATTGTAGTCTAATGCATGTTTATACACTGATCAAGATGCTGATCAGACAGCATGGGGACTGCACAGGTGTGCCTTATGCTGGCCACAATAAAAGGCCATATACATACATTTATTGTGGCCAGCCTAAGGCACACCTGTGCAGTCCCCATGCTGTCTGATCAGCATCTTGATATGCCAAACCTGTGAGGTGGATGGATTATCTCAGCAAAGGAGAAGTGCTCACTAACACAGATTTTGACAGATTTGTGAACAATATTTGAGAGAAATAGGCCTTTTGTGCACATAGAGAAAGTCTTAGATCTTTGGGTTCTAATTGAGTCTATTTCTTTTCAGCTATGTTCAATAAAAGTTATGTTGCTTACTTCTTTGTGCGAGATGGTGAGCTGTTCCTCCAACGCACTGCATCTTTCCAAGGCAACGCGTAGTCGCTCCCTCACCTGGAAAACAGTGACACAACATAAACAAACATGTACAACTTTGCAGATCTTTTATTTGCCTTGCAATGTCAAATCTCTCTAATGCACATGTTAACATGTACATGCATGTGCACACAGGTACTTCATTCACTTCTTTCTTTCAAACAATACAGAAACACAGTCGTACCTTCTCATCGAGGGCTTTGTGGTGTTCGAAAAGTGACTTAAGGGCTTTGAGGACCTCCACTTCACTTGAGACTCCGGCTGGAGACTGAGCCTGTCTCTTCACTACTGTCATCCTTAGACTACGTTCATGGCGAGACACCAGGCACTCCAAGTGCTCCAACAGGAGCTGGGAACACAAAAGACAGTGTTAACAAGTGTGAAACAGCGATTAGTTTATTGCTGTTGCATTGTTTTTTTCCACTGATCTTGCATGACAAACTGATGCTTTTCACTGCCCAATACTCTTTCAGATATTAAAAGCAAAACACTGTTCTCTGCAAAGAGTATGCAAGAGTAAACATAGTGAGAAACAGCACTGACTAATAACACGCTTGCTGAGGTCTGGTCCTGCTCCTCCTCCAGCACAAACAGCTGTCTGTAGTGAGATTTACTGTCAGCGGTTAAAATATTTTGATGATTAAGCAACTTGCCACGCCCATAACTTGTGACAATGGTTTGGATTATCTGATAGAAACTGATTTGCCAACCAGAGTTATGACAACAATTTATACCCAAAGCAAAAACACACAGGAATCTGACAAGGATTTCCAGATGAGTACGCAGGCTGACTAAACTTTCCTCATCAATGGTGGACAGTGGAGGCCCTTTTTGAATATTTAATACTTGCAGCTTGAGATACAGTTTGTCAGTTTGTCTAAAATATTTGTGTGTGTGTGTGTGTGTGTGTGTAGGCACATTATACTAACCCGTGTGTTGTTTCTCTCAGCCTTCAGCTCTGCAATCTCCTCCTCCTTCTCCAGAAGCTGCTCCCGACACACGTTCACCTCCTTTGTCAGTGCAGCAAACTCCTAGAATAGAAATGTACAAATACAGTAACACGTAACTGCTACTTACAAAGCATTTTTCTTGTAGTTTAAAGGCGCTGCAGTTGAGAAAATGCACCACTAAGGCTGCTACTGCCTTTATCTAATCCTAGTTCCAACCTGTACCATATACTACAGGTTGCGGCTCTCCACCTACTGTAATCTCATCCTCAAACAGAGCAGGTTGGGGCTTAAAACAGAGGACATTTTCAGCAATATAACATGATAAATGTAGCACGTTTGGCAAACTAATTTCTCAACTCCGGTTGATTCGCGAGTCCCCCCATACTGTGCCGTGACTGGCTAGTACTCGTCACTTGTGATTGGATCAGATGCTGGCAAAGGATACAAGTAAGCCCATATGCAAGCGGTGGTACAGAGCAGCGCTAATGAAGGGTGCTAACAAAACCAACTGAGCAAAGCACCTGCAGAACAGACACCTCTATAAAGAACCTCAAGGGGTTGGAGATCGCTAAGTACTAAACAAGATAGCCTTGTTGATAAGCTTGTTGTCCTGTCCAGACAACAGACATAAATCTCAAAACTAAGCTAATCCCCCTCAGAGCTGTCAGACAGCAGAGTTTCAGTTGACATTTCATATCTAAGATAAGTGGATCAGTTCCCCCGTGGTATCGCGAATGGTATTAAATATCGAAATTTTTCAAGGTATAGTCTCAAAGTTAGAAATTTCAATATCGTGACAACACTGATTCACACAGACTTTGTCATGAGTAGAGTTGGGTACCAAACTCCATACTTTTAAGGGTATCAACTGAATTACATTGGTACTATTCACGTAAAATCAGGCGGTGCCAAATTTTTGTACCAGAGAGTAGAGAGAAAGTAAAGCCTCATTCACACTACACAATTTTTTGCCCGATTTGCCGCTCGGCGAGCTCGCCGACCGTCAGGCTGTGATCGTAGTAAATCAGCGGTTGATCGGCGGTCGCCAGTTTTTATGTTTGAACTACTCAACGATGCATCAAAACGGCTCCACCACACATCACTGCCACATCGCCGACGTCTGCCAGATATCTAGCACGCCAAATATCTGGAGAAGTCGGCCGACTCGACATCCAGCCAATGAGAGCAGGCAGCTACTTTTTCCACTCTCCCCTCAGCTCTCTCTGTAGCTCACACATTCTTTGTCTTTATAATTTCTATCTTTATAATAACTAAAAACAGCTGTTTCGCGTGTAGATCGCGTCATTTCACGTGTGTTTTCTTGACAAAACATGGTTTGGAGATGTGCGTCGGGTGACACAGCCGCTGTCAGCTCGTGTAGTGTGTGACCCCCCGTCACGATCAGTCACGTAGTGTGAACGCCACAACGACTTCAAGACGGCAAGTTGTGTAGCGTGATTAGCAGGGCGATTGGCCAACGCTGAAAGTCGTGTAGTCTGCACTAGGCTTAAGACTAAGAGGGGGAGACTACCTCACCCCTGTTGCCACTAGCGAACTGGCCACTGTCTGTCACCCCAAGCGACTAGTGGCATGCACACACACATCAACACAACATTCAGTCAGTTCATGGAGAATGCGTGGCCAACCAGTGTGGAGAAGAAATTCACAGGAGAACAAGAGAAAGAGAAGAAGCACAGCTGAGATGAAGTGCACTACTAGGAGAAACGACAGGAGGAAAGCGTCGCTAAATGCTGTAAAATTACAGTTATCTTCAAGCATTAGGAACATTTAAAAAAAAAAAAAAAAAAAAACATACTAGCAGGACTGCCTTCATATACAAGTTGTTTATAAGTAAAATACATTTATTTATTAAAATAAATATTTGCAAAGCGTACCCAACCCTAGTCATGAGGACATCAGTGTTCATAAACATGCAGCAACACGGTGTGATGTTAAAATAGTAGAAAGACTTTGATAAAATCCCCCCCAAGTCTTTGAGAAATATACAATATACTGCCACTCTCTGCTGAACAGACTTTTTGTAATAAACCTCACATCACTCAGATCTTTCTCAGGTTCTCACACACATACACTTGCTTTTGGGGATTACATGCATGGTTGGACATAAAGAATGTGCCATCCTGATTTTTTGCCCTGCAAAAACTTGCACGGGCACCCTGAGTAGCGAGGCCTTCTCGCTACGTTTCAGAGGGTGGGAGATGTGTGTGTGCGCAGAGGCTGGGGGGAGGGGGGTGCTGGAACTGATCGTTCTTTTCAGTCACTACCACAACTATTCTCTCTTCCCTTCACTCCAGGCTTTGAGCTTTTCCAGCGACTGACACAGATTCTGCTTCACTAAAGGAGTAAGCGGGAGTTTGCTATTGGCTATGACCAAGGTCTCCACTCTGCTAGCCAATGAGAGACCATAAAAGGCAGGCCCCGGGTAATTACAGAGTGGCTTACTTCCTACATTCCAGAGCAGACGCTGAGGTTGAGTTGTACAGCAACCTTAAGATTTCTCCATGTCTCTATCCGCAATTTATGACCTTCTTCTTTTCCCTTAACGTTCCTTAACTCATCATTTAGACAGAAAATCACGTTGAGTAAAAACAAATGGGAGCATTTGGTACTTGCTTCTGTAGACTTGTATGATGGAAGCGCAGTTTAATGATTTCAGTCAGTGAAAATCACTATAAAGAAGCACCCGTAAGAGGCTCACTGGCCATCATGGGGCGGCTGCGGCTCAGGAGGTAGAGCGGGTTGCCTGTTAATCGGAATGTCGAAGTGTCCTTGGGCAAGACTGAACCCCGAATTGCCCCTGGCGGCTGTTCCACCAGTGTATGAATGTGTGTGAATGGTGAATGCAGATGCAGCGTGAAAGCACTTTGAGTGGTCGAAAAGACTAGAAAGGCGCTATACAAATATGGAGCATTTACATTTACATCTATCAAACAACAAAGTAGATTGATGCAGAGTTAATAAAGTTAGTTATTATTAGTTATTAAAAGACCTTCTACAATCTTGGACCATCAAAACCAACCTACAGTTACTCCCACCCTTTGCTTAACGTGTGTGCGCCCACCCACTTCACAAACTGGGCACATGCAAAAAAAAAAAAAAGCACATTCATATATAGGATAATACATGCATGCCAATACATACACAAGGCGGACATGACAACATGTACACAAGTATGGAGCAATTCAATACCACAGCCTGGATATAAAAACTATCATCATCACCTCCTCCAACACATTGGCCACAACAAGTAGCTAAGAAGAGCGTCGACATCAAACTTCAAATCTGACTGTTCACTTGTTCAGTGCATTTAACAGTTTAATCGCCAAATTTTATATATACATTCAATTTAAATATGCAGATTGAAGGCACTAGAATCATAAGCTTGTATACATGCGGATGCAGCCATGGGCATTCAAGCCTGATCCCTCTTTGCTGCAGGGTGAACTGGTGTATGACTCAGTAAGAGTATGAGCGACATGCTGGTTAGAAGTGGACTGAGCTGCTCTGTAAGCCTTGGAACAGGGGAGGGGATTAAAGGGGGTACACAAATATGTGTGCCAACCTATTAAAGGAACAGCGTACCAAAACACAGGGATACACAAAAGCATTCGGCATTCAGCCTCATGAAGAAGAATATCCCAGCACCTTTGTGGCACTAAGACAGAATCACATTCTCTATTATAATACAATTGAGAATTCTGCCTGATGAAAAATGTGTGCACAGCAATGGCTTAAATTAGTAATTTTTTCCAAACACAGCAATTACATTTTTCCTCCACTTCACATAGTTTGCGTATATTTTAACATAACGTGCTTATTTTTAACATATTTTCACCACAAAATGTTTTCAAACGGAATAATACGATTTAACCCAATTTTAAAACAGCTTCTGTTAGCGCTACAACGATTAGTTGGCAACTATTAAATTAATCTGCAACTATCTTGCTTATCGAATAATCGCTTTGAGTCCTTTTTTTTTTTTTTTTTTTTTTAAAAAGGAAAAACATCCAAATTCTCTGATACCAGCTTCTTAAATGTGAAAAATGTCAGTTTTCTTCGCTCCTCTGTGACAATAAACTAAATATATTTGGGTTATGCACAAAAGAAGACACTTGAACGTCATCTTGAGCTTTGGGAATCACTAGTCGACAATTTTCACTATTTTCTGAACCTAACAACTTTTCGATTAATTGAGAAAGTAATGGACAGATTCATTGATAATGAAAAAGAATCGTTAGTTGCAGTCCTCGGTCCTGTGTTAGAATCAGAAGGAGCTTTATTGCCAAGTAGTGTTTTACACATACGAGGAATTTGCTGTGGTGATAAGGCGCTACACGCAGACAAACATACAGTCGACATACATAAATGTAGAAATATAATAAATATGGAATAGAAGAACAATGTTGAAGATATATACATGTGCATTGTTCTGGGTCTGTGCCGTGCAGCGGAAGAGAATATTGTGTACATATAAATATATAAACTGACAACAAAAAATATACAAACAACAAAGATGTGCGACGTGCCAGGTCTGTGCACAACACGAGATTAGGTTATTAATTATGCCTCATATTTAATATTATTATAATATTTATATTATTTAATTTATGTAAAATAAAATGAAAAATCTGTCAACTGCCTCAGGATGTCTGCGAAGAACAGTGTTTCCCACAGGATTTTAAGAGACTAAGGTGGGCAGGGCCTCTCCGTAAGAAAATTTTGTACATTTTAAAGTGAAATGCATTAATGTGGTACAAAACTAAGAGGCTATCTATGAAAAACTTTGCACTCTTGTAAACAATGTTGTGCTCTACTATTTGATCATAAACCCTCATCACCATATCTATAACTGGTGATGAAACAGCAACAAAAGTCAACATATTTAATGTTTTTCCCAAAACCCTAAATCAAAGAACATTTTACTACTGTTGTTTTGTTTTATACTTTTAATGGACACATTTCATATGTTTTATACTTTCTGTGAATATAATTTAATCTTATTTCCATCCTGTACAGATACCTATTTTGTAAAACCGGACGTTGTCACATGTGTTTCCTCC